AAAAAAAAAAAAAGCAACCAAAGGGCAGGATTACCTACTGAAGACAGAAGCAGAAAATCATGTGAGCACAGCGACAGGAATGTGAGATATCCAGCAAGGAGGTGTGTGACTCCTTGCCACACAAACCTAGATTAACAATTCCCTGCCTTCCAGCAAGTTCCTTGGTAGAGCCCCTTGTCCTCCCTGACAGCTGTTAACACCAAAGGCCCAGAGGCTCATGGGCTGGTTCCTTGTCAGGGATACTCTGCCTCCGGGTGGCCCCAGTTGAAAGGACACTGTTCCCTTTAGTGCCCCCCCGGGGTCCCTCCATCCAGGGGGAGGGCAGGCCTCTTCATCTCCAAGCAGGCAAGGCGTTCTGACTCCGGCTCAGGGTCTTTCAAGCGATCACTCACGGGAATGACCTGGTGTTGCACCTAGTATCCACACTCGCTCCATCTGGCCACAGGCTGCTCGCAAGAATGGGGGAAGCTGGCTTCAAGGAAGTGCCCTTCTAGGTGAACAGGTGCACTGCCTCCACTCCTGCCTTGCTAAAAGAATTAAGACCTGTAACTACTTGACTTGTTAGGCCACAAGAATCCATTGCTTAGTAAGCCAAGACTAAAGTGACTCTCCCATGAAGAAACAATATTGACCTTTGTAAGTTTAGTTCCATTTAGAAACTAAATGTTTCTTAGGTAATAAGTAACTGCTTTCTATAGTGATGTCTCTAATGAATTGAGTATGGCTTTCGGAGATATGATTAATTATAAATTAGTACCCTGATATGGTAAATAGGACTGTAAAGTTTCGCCGCCTTTCCCAGAAGTGTAATTAATCATGTAATGCTTCATATTGCTATTCTGTATGATCAAAATATGTGGATATGATGGGTATTGAGTAACAATGCCAAATATTACCATATAAAAACCCTGCTGGGGCCCTCCCTGGTGGCGCAGTGGGTTAAAGCACAGCACTAGGAAGTTTAAGCCACTTCTGCATGTGGATCTCCTCCGGGGCAGGCGGGAATCGAACTCATGAGGAAGTGGCTTTAGTTTCTCAGTGCTGTGCTTTAATCCGCTGCACCACCAGGAAGGGTCAAGAGCAAACCATTTTTGAGAGGGTGATATACTTCATGAATGTTCATGGAACACTGAAAGATTGTGCACACAAGAGGACACAATAATGTTTTAAAATAAGTTAGGCCAGGGGCCTCCCTGGTGGTGCAAGGGGTTAAGATGTAGCCCTATGCTCTCTGTAGCTACTGCAGCACAAGTTAGATCCCCAGCCAGGGAGGTGACCCACATGGCACAGCAGGCCTCTCCCACCTGTCCCAGAGGTGACCACATGGCGCGGCAGACCTCTCCTGACCCGCCTGCTGCTCCCCTCAGCAGCGCACTTCGTCGATCTGCCTGTTCTGCTCCCCTCTCTGTCTCTGGTGAATCCTCTCACCCTCCTCATCTCTGGCCTGTACCCCAGCTCTATATGAATAAATAAATAAGTCTTTAAAAAAAAAAAAAAACCCTGCTGTCCGCGCAATAAACAGAGCAGTTTCTCCAAGCTTTAGGGTGTGCTGTCTCTCATTTTCTCTTACAGAACCTCAGCACCGACGCTTTCTCTGCTCTTTTCACGACCCGTAACAAAAGTTGGGGCAGGTCCCTGGCAACCTGGAGCTTTGGGGAACCAGCCTTGGGCTTCCCCTTCATTAATCCTTAATTGGATGTGCCGGGTTCTCCCCAGGCCTGTGCTTTGGGGCAGCAGAGGCCGCCCTGCCCCCCAGACAGACAGGTGCCCTGGGCCACAGGACAGGGGCAGACACCCTGTGGGGCAGGAGCCCAGGGGGACAGGGACACCCACCAAGCCCACCATAACCCCTGGGCCTCTGGGTGGGTCCCCAGGCCTGAGCAGGTGCAGGGGCAGTGATGAGCTTGGGGTCTGGCTCCCCTCACATCCTGGGCTCAGGCCCTGGCGCCATTGGCCTCTCCCCTGTGTGCAGGACGCACTCCCAGGACTGTGGACGCTGCAGACCCAGCCAGACCACGGGAGCCTGGGTCCTCGGCTGCCCCCACAGAACCTCACAGGGACTTGGAGGTCACTTGGGGCAGAGATTTCAAGCCACATCCCATCAAATGCTGGTTTTCTGACTACGAGAATCAGCCAACAAGGATGCAGGTGGGAGTGGGGAGTGGAGTGCTTAAGGCACCATTGGACTGTGATAGAGTGTTACTAAGACTCTGACAGTGGCACACTGTGGTATAATTAATCTAAAGAGGGGTGATCAGATACCTCTAAGAAGTATACAGTGTAGTTAACCATTGCTAGCTCAATGAAATAATTTTTTATAAACAACCAAAATAGGACTATAGGAAAGGAAGACTTCCATCCACAAACAGAAACACTTAATATGCTTGGGATGTTAATAATACCCGGTCATTCTCCACCTTGAAAACAGCTCTGATCAAAGTTCCATAAGACATTAAAAGGATAAGCAACAAAAGGAAAATAATGTGGACATATCAACATTTAAAATTTCTGAGCATTCAGAGACATCGTCACTGAAGGATTGGCACAGAACACGAAAGGATGAAAATTTCTCAAGTCATATTTTGATAGATATAGGAATCCAGACTGTACAAAACTTCCACAATTTAACACGATAAGGGGAATCATATAATTTACAGCTATTTGAGTAGAGTTCTTGAATATTTTTGTTTAAATATATATTATAATTGGTCAACAATGACAGGACCCCGTGACTTTCCTGAGACGCCCACAGAGGAGGAGTCAGGCCGCAGAGACACGGACACCGGGGCTGACCGCAGCACACAGGGGCCTGAGCCAGCCATACGCAGGGGGACAAGGGAGTCAGGTGTCAGGGCACTCTGGGGATGTGGGGGCACTGTTTAAAACGGGGAGAGGAGGGGCCTCCCTTGTGGCGCAATGGGTCAAGACGCAGCACTGCAAACTGACCACAGCCGCTTAAGTGCGAGTTCAACTCCCGGCCCCCGAGGTGATTCCCAGCTCACGTGGCACAGCAGACCTCTCCTGACCCGCCCGCTGCTCCCCTCATCAGTGTACTTCGACGATCTTGCCTATTCTGCTCCCCACTCTGTCTCTGGTGAATCCTCTCACCGCCGCTGCACCTCTGGCCTGCACCCCAGTTCTGTATGCATAAATAAATAAATAAATCTTCTTTAAAAATGGGGAGAGCAACAAAATATTAACTGTTTTCACTTATTCATGATGATGTTATTAACCAAACTCAAAAGCAAATAATCACTAAAGTAATACATCACTATGGTGTATTCTAAGTCCATCATTGCTTGTCCTTGAAATGAGATCTAATGTAGAATTGAAAGCATGGCCATGCTCTGCATTTCCAGTAGGAGAGACACCCTTCTTCCTGAGTAAACGCGCGAATATCAGCGTGAGCCACTGGACCTTGGCTGTGAAAATGACCTGTCAGTAAGGCACTTGCTCCGCCCCGCGCAGGCGCACAGCGGGCACACCTGAGCGAGGCCCCGCCCAGCCCTGGAGGACATGCCTCCTCCCACCCAGTTGGCGGGGGTCTTGAGAACCTGCGGGTTCAGGTCTGGGGGTCCTGTGGGGCCAGACAGAGGGGGAGCTCGGAACCCACGTGGCCACACCAATGTCCCAGCAGCATGGACGGGCCCCTTGGTCACAGGCAACTCAGCTTCATGTAGGGTCATCATGACCAGTTATTGAAACAACCCTTTTGATACATACTTTGAATGATTCTGAAATACAAAAACTGAACAAATTGCATCTCCTTGAATGATCGAAGGAAGCAAGTAAATTATCTCAAAAAATTCAGTAATGGGAGTTGTGAACAGAGTGCGACTCCCCGGCACGTTCTACACACTGTACAGGGTCAAGAGCACAGGAGGACACACCTCTCTTATGGAAATTTTCCTGGTAATAAGTTAGAAATAATATTAAGTGAGTTTTCCATTTACAAACCACATAGAATGAAGGTTCAAGCCTCACGCTGGTCTCAAGTCCGTGGTGCTCACAGAGACCAGCCCTACAGCTGGTGTGGGATTATTGACATGAGTCTATCATGTGTATAGTTCTATCTTCCTAATAACAGACAATCAGAAAACACAGGGGGCAGTTCACAGGACAAGGGGCCCACCTTATGCCCTCAGAGGGAGATTTTCCAGCTACTCATGTACAGTGAGTTTTGCATGATCTGGGGAGAAACAGGGAATGGTAGAGGTTACTTTGAAGGTCTTAATTGGTGTATGCAGGGGGCTCAAGGCAGAGAAAGGTGCCTAGAGCATGTGGGGTAGGACAAGCCTGCTGGGAGGCCCTGTCTATCTCAGGGACCACCTGCAGGGAGGAGGCCTGCATACCTGGCCTGCAGTCCTCCTGCCCACAAAGCTGTTCGGACCACACTCAGATACCAAAGGCGCTGAAACCAGGCTGAGCAATGTGGCTGCAGGAGGTGTCCTGGACACTCCCTGTGCCCTGAGCAGGGAGGCCCAGGCCCAAGGCCCCAGCTCCCTGAGAAAAGGGGCAGCTGGGACTCTGCATCCTGGAAAGGGAGGGGCCCACCGCCTCCCCAGTCACGGGCATGCAAGCAGTCAGGTCTCCTGTACAGAGGCTTTTATTGGGAATAAAAGTGGGTTGGTGGGGGCTCCAGGTAAGTGTTTCGTAGCATTATCTTTTCAATCCAGAATACGAATGCACTGACACGGGTGGCCACCAAGGGCTTGCAAGCAGGGCAGTTTCCACTGTCAAATGACAAGATGCCCACCAGCATCCAGTGTCCATTCTTCTGGCAGACCATGGAACCACCAGAGTCACCCTGAGGGAGGGAGAAATGACAAGGTTGGCAGAACCCTCACATGCCCTTCCCTGACCCATTCATTGGGATGGAGAAATCCCACATGGGCCCCGATTCCAGCACTGAAACACATTTCAGTGGTGGCTACTTCAGAACCAGATTTGGTGACAGGGGAGGTGGGAGTGGACCCGGGGTCTGTAAATCAGCAGGAAATATCTAACCCAGAGGATCGCCTTGAGAGCTGCACCCCCGGGCAGCACCCCATGCCTGGACGCATTATCTGCAATGGAGTGGCTTGGTGGTAGCCATCTCCAAGGACACACACCCAGTGAACAGGGTGCCAGGAGCTGGGGCCCGGAGGAACCCCCCCAGCCAGATTAGGGAGGCAGTCAGTGGGGGCTGTGTTAGGGTGTTACATACATTGTGGGAGCTGGCACCCGTGAATCCAGCACAGATCATGGTGCGGATCTGGAGCTGGGGCCAGTACCTCCTGCACTCAGCGGGGGACATCAGAGACACAGTGGCCTGCTGCAGCTTGTCAGGGAACTTGGTGGCTATAGACAGAGGCCCAGGGTGGGTTAGGATCTTATCCTCCTAGTCCATTCAGTGGGGAGGAAACCGCAAGCCCCAAGTGCAGACTTCCCAGGTCCCCACTCTGACATAGCACCAAAATCTAAGATCAGAGCCCTTACATTCAGACCAGAGAAGCCTCAAAGCCCACGGCCCTGCTGACTTTTCTCCAGGGGGGACCGACTCTGCTCTACGAACAGTTAATGAAACCAACCCTCCCTGCCCAGCCTGGTGTGGCCTGGGTCCTGCCAGCCCGGAGTGGAGGGCAGAAGGACAAAGATTTCCACCCCAGGGAAGGGGATGACATCCCTCTGTGGAGATCCAATTCAGGGTGACATCAGGTTCCCTCATGCTGCCTCTTCCTGCCTGCTGTTTCCCTGGAAAGAACTGGCCTTGCAACCCAGGCCGGGAAGACAAACTCAGGATACTAGAAATAATATGTATTCGAGTGCCACACCACGGAAGGAACACTGGACTGACTTCTCAGGGCCCTATACCCACTCTGGAGGCCTGGCATCAACCAGGGTCAATGGCAGCTGACTACCCCAGTCACGTCTGGTGAGACCAAGGACGGGCAGCCAGGGTTAGTGGTGCAGGGCCTGCTGGGAATGGACTGTGGCTGCGGAACCAGCCAGGTGAAGCACAGCCTGACCTCGGGCCCAGGTGTTTCCTAGGTTGTCAGTAAGAGGCGGTTGTCAAGATTCAGACACATCTAAGACACTGCTCAAGTTCAGGCAAACCCACAAAGCAGAGCCATCCAGGTCCTTCTTGCTGTTTGAGTCCTGAGTGGGAAGACCATGGTCACTCACCATTAGTTTGGGTTTCCCCCCAGCCCATAATGGTACACATTGTCCTAGAAGGGAAGATGTCAGAAACTCTGGGCAGGAAAATAGGGGCAACGTTCTTGCGGAAGACAGCAGGCGTGGCGAGCTTCAGCAGGGCAATGTCATTGCGTATATGCCACACGTTGAACTTGGGGTGTCTAAAAATCTAGGGGTTGAGACAGAAGGAAAAGATGAGACACATAAATTCTGGGTGGCTCCTTTAGAAAACAAAGAAGAATGGCGAACAGGAGAGAACTAGGCCCGTCTCCTGGCTCCCATCTCTGCAGCTGAAAGGCTTCTCCGCTCCTGCCCTAAACCCTCAATGCCCCCAGGGCAGCCCCGCAGAGTCCCAATACCTGGGAAATATTCAGGATCTGGATGTCACTCTCACCGGCGCTCCTGTCAAATATCCCAGCCACGACCTGGTCAGATGTCCTGGAAGGAACAGGTGGGTAAGGATTTAGTCGGAGGCCACTCCCTTCCCTTGTCCCTAGGACACTCCTGGCCTCACGTGACTTTGCAGTAGGCGGCAGTGACCACCCAGTTCTCATTGATCAGGGAGCCCCCACCAAGAAGTTTTCCGGTACGAGTCTGTAGGAAGAGAAAGTACATACTGGCAGGAAAACAGTCACAAATGTCTGCGAAGCAGCTTCTGCCTGTAGCTGCTACCTCATGTCACCCCACTCAGATGCAGACTCCCCTCACCTGAAGCATCACGTTCCAGGGCCAGGCACCAGGATGAGCGTCCACCCCATTGATGATCCTGGGTATAATGTTCAGCTCCGGGTCACTGGCAGGGGCCCCAGAGCCTGGGGTCATGGGGCAGTGGGGAGGGGGAGGTGCAGTCAGTCTGCAGAAACCTGCTGCACCCTCAGCCAGCACAGCACCACCCACACTCCCTCCTGGCTCCCAGCACCTAGACTGGAAGACACACCCCTGCCTGCTGGCCTGTCACCCCCCAGGGATGCAGAGGGACAGGCGGCTCCATCTGGGTCCTCCTGGCCAGAGGAGCAGACTCAGGCTGAGGAATCCCTGAGACACCCAACTATCCCTGCTGGAACCTCAGCCCCCTCTCATTCTCCCAGGCTCATTTTCTCCAAGAAATGGGAAGCAAACACCTCTCACCTCACACTAAAACTTACCCAAAGCAGTGGCTACGAGGTACAGAATAAAACTTAGTGAACCACAAAGTCAGTGGAAACCCCCCTAACAATTTTCTGGTGGGGTGTGACCTGTACCATTTACGAGGATCCTCTGCCCGGAATTTCAGGAACCCTTCATTGCATAACTGAAGTTTCTTAATTATTTTAAAAGATAGGACTTTGACGCCACCATGGACAGACACATGAAGGAACTGAAAACAATGAGTAAGACTGTCCAGAACAAGGAGCCCTCAACATGTGCAGACAGATTTGCTGGGTCAGGACACAGGATTCCCAGCAGGTCCCAGAACTTGGCCAAAGGAAGAAATGGGGGGCAGGGCCAGCCCCTCCCATAGCAAGGCACCCCCAGGGTCCCTCAGGCCTTGCTCCAGACAGCCCCTGCCCCTCCTGGGGCCAGGGACATGGCCCAGCCACTCCCTCAAGCTGGAGACTCCAAACATGTCCTCCTCATCTTTCTCATAAGAACAGAAAACCACCAGCAGGCGCTGTGAGCAGCGCCCCCTGCAGGCGCGTCCTAGCAATGCAGAAGGCTGGTCCCTGTGCAGGGAGGGACCTGAGGTCTCACCCCATTGGGGACAGAGCTATGACAGGCACAGGGAGGGGACTCAGGGAGGGGCTCCCCCATGGGGCCCGCAGTTCTGGGTGAGCCCCAAGGGGTGAGTGTATGAAGCCTGCACAGAGTGATAGGCAGGGACTCAGCAGAGGCCCCTTCCCAGGGAGGGGAGGGACAGGGAGGTGCTGAGCCTGGTGTGGACTTCAAAGAAAAAAAGAAAAAAAAATTACAGGAAATCTGAGAATGGTAATATTTGCTAAATCCAGAGCACAGTTACACAATGTGGTACTACTTTCTCTCTCTTTTGTTTTTTGAAAACAAAATCTTAACTGTCAGCCACTAAATAAATTCCCTGAGAAAAGAAATTTTGATGGTCACCTGGATCACCCTTACTAACCCTCTGACCAAACCTGAGGTCCTTCCTCTGAGTCCCTGACATTCGACCTCACACCTGGCATGGCTGTGAGGGCTCAGACAGGGTTTGAAAGTCCCTCTTGGGCTAGACACAAAGGCTTACCCCCTACAGAACCCCTCATTTTTCCAGTTTGGGCTTGATGTGATGCCTCTCACACCTCAAGGCCTTCCCCTGCATTCTTCTCCCAGACCTGGCCAATGACTCAGACCGTAACACTCACCAAAGGAGATGCCTATGAGGGTGACGCAGGAGAGAAGCCCCAGCAAGGCCATGGTGCTCAGTCAGGGAGAATGGGGCCGCCTGCTCTGGGCCTTTTTTATATAGGGATATAGCCTGTCCCACCCAGGCCCTCTGGGCCTCCCTGACCTGAGCGCCCCCTCCCATGGTCAAACCCACCCTGCATAAGCTCAACCCAGATCACTCAGCACCAGGGAAAAGGGCAACTGCCTGGCTCACAGTCACCCATCAGCCCGGCAACCCCTGGGGGAAGCTCCCAGCTGTGGGCCCCGCAGGCCCTGGCGCCATCATGGGGGTGGCAAAGACTCATCTAAGGGACCCTCACCCAGGTGTCTGGGGCACCCAGAGCTCAGCACCCAGCACTCAATTGCACAACAGCCCCCAGAGCCCGGACCCCAGGCTGCTTCTCTACCTGCTCAGAGAAACTCCCTGAGGCCAGCGACACACGCAGGCCCAGCCCCTCAGGAAAGGGCCTTGGAACCAGGCCAGACAGCTCTGGAGTGCAGGAGGCAAGACAATAAGTACCTCAATAGGTGAATCTCAGTCCTCCTTTCTTGAGAATTCACAAAATAACTGAAAAATCTATATATAAACTTTTGGGGGTTTTCCAGGCGATCTTTGTTGTTTTAAAATTTTATTTTTATTTATTTATGCATACAAGGACTGGGGTATAGGCCAGAAGTGTGGGGAATTGGAGGACTCACCAGAGACTCCTAGAGCCCAGACCCCACCCTTGGGGAAGGCCAACTCTGCCCCATTTCAGGGGACTGAGGGTGGGACCACCTGGTTCTCTTCCTTGGGACATATGACAGTTTTACATGCTGTGAATCTTGTTCATTTCCCATAAAAATAATCATCATTTGCTGCTAACTGTGGTCATTTCATTTAAATTTTACACTAGGCCCACACTCCTAGCCTAGCAGGCAATTTGAGAGACTTGAACGGATAAAGGAAACATGGAGATGAAGTTGATGAGCCCAAGAGTCAATGATCTCTTTTGCTAATCCAGTCATCAGTCAGGACACCCCAGACTAGTCTACTCACCCAGCTATGATGCCTGGACGTTCATAGAGGCCAGAAACCCTCACTCTGTGTGGTATAAATACAGTTAAGGACTGAAAAAGCTGCAATGATCTCCGTCTTTCCCACCACACAGTCACCAGGGGCCAGGAAATCATTCCCAGGATGAGGGATGGAATCACAATTGAATTAGCAGAAAACTTTCTCTAACTACCATGGAGCTATTATTTGCAGTTAATAGCTGGTAACACTTAATGAGCTGAGAATCCCAGAGACCTCCTGGATCAGGACAAAAAAGGCACCTGGTACCAATGATGGAATCCTGTTTTTTTGGTTTGTTTTTTTTTAAGATGTATTTACTTATGCATACAGAACTGGGGTACAGGCCAGAGGTGCAGAGGTGGTGAGAGGATTCACCAGAGACAGAGTGGGGAGCAGAACAACGAAGCACACTGCTGAGGGGAGCAGCGGGTGGGTCAGGAGAGGTCTGCTGTGCCATGTGGATCAGCTCCCTGGTCGGGGATCGAACTTGTGCTGCAGTGGCTTCGGAGAGCTTCATAATACTGTGCATTAACCCATTGTGCCACCAGGGAGAGCCCAATATTGGGAATATTTTAAAGACCTAAACCATGGGCTGCGTGGGAAGACAGAAAGGCCATCAGCTGCCTCTTACCATGTACCTATGAAGAACGTGGTGTGGAAAACTTTTTTGAAGGGGTCCCAAAGAGAAACAAGCCCCTTCTTTACATGTCTATAGATGAGGCTCAGGTGACCCTAGAAGTGACAGACAACTATTCAATTCTTGGTGGATATGGGGCCTCTTCCTCTGCCTTACACCAAATCTGTGGACTGACTGTGTGGTCGACTGTCCTCCTCCATGGGACTCGTGGCCAACCTGAGCCAGGACGCCCTGCTCACTCCCAGGCCACATGCTTGCACCCTCATTTTTGGTCTTGTCTTCCTGATCAACCCCACAGTTAGTACAGGACACTGGACCAAACCAAGCCAGTCTCCCATGACAGTCTCCACAGCCGCTGCTGGCCCTCTCAGGCACTGCTGTGGAAAACAGGGAGGGTACAGGAGCCATGGGTCTCACTCTTCTGCCAATTGACTAGAGCACCTCACTCCAGGAATCTGGGACACACCAATTCCAGGCTTACCCATCTTTGCTGCCCCCCACTAGAGTGCAGATCCTCCGACCTGCTCTAGGAAGTTAAGATGATATGTTCATAAATTAAACAATAAATTATGGATAAAGAGAAAATTAGAAGGGAAATTAGAAAAATGTTGAAGGGAAGCCCATGAAAACATCAACCCTAAAAATGTGTGGGAAGGAATATACAGACAATAAAGTTAAATGTCCCCTCAAACCAAAAGAAAACTATATAGCCTCCTACACAAAGCTTCCTCCAGTCACGTCTTTGAAGACCTGGCATTCCTAACCTTGTTTCATCTCATTGACCATCAAACCTTAGCTTGTGGCGGCAGAACATCAGTCACCAAAGAGTACTGTCGTGGACAGCTAGAAGGCAAAAGATTGCAAAACACCTGACCCGGATGCTTGGGCTGCCAATTGTGGACAGCCGGTAACTTCAGTAGCTTGAATGCCAGAGATGCCCTTCAAAGGCAGTTTCTGGAGACCAATCCTCATCAGCCTCAGTGACAGGGGCAGAAAGGGGGTGCGCAGGGCTCCACACCCAGGTTAGGAATCTGCACACATGCACTAACTCTCTGGTGACCTGTTTGTGCTGAGTTAACTTTCCAGCCCAGGAGGGCTGGGAGAGTGCTGGAAACCATTTCCGTCAGAGACAGAGCCACCCTGGGGTGCAGGGGCCTATATCCAGATGCTAGTGGAGAGGGAGAGGTCAGGGAGAGGGAGTACCATAAAAGCCCCAGAAGTCAAGTGCCTGGAGAGAAGACCGTTCACAGATATCTAGCTGCCTCTGTCTAACTTACTATAAAGCAGCCTGTTCAAGATGAGGTAGTAGAAGGTTTTCTCTGGAGCCTGCAGTTCAACCATTCTTATTGGCTTGCTGATCTAATTAAAGCACCTGTTAAAGATTCAGCTCCAGGCCTCTGTCTTTTGATTTCAACAACTGTGGCAGGCAGAAAGAATCTGGAATTTTCCAGCAACATCAGGACTCGATGAGACTTGGGCGCTACCACCCACTTACCTTTGTATTCCAGATCTCAAAAACTTAGGAAAAAGCACCTTCTGTTCACTTCTTTTTCCTTCCTACAATGTTATTTCCACCCTATGTTTTAAAATTAGGAGAACATAGGCCCTACCGACACCCCCCAGACAGCAGAACCCCAGTGTCACTGTGCTGTCTACCCCACCCGACACCCCTGCCTGTGTGGCCCCAGGCTGTCCTGTCTCCTCAGGACCTGTAGGAATAAACTTGCCATGTTTCTAGGTTCCTGATGGTTCTCGTTACTAGCGACTTAAACCCTCACGAGAATCTCACGCTGGTGTCCCTTTAGAGAGGTGTTGGGTTCAGAGAGCTGGGTCCCAGATTACCTCTAAGGAAAGTTTCATCAGAGCTCCCTTTCGGCAGCACACAGCAGGCTTCCAGATGAGGCAGAGATGTTTAGTTAGACTCCTAAGGGCAGGTTTATTATACAAAGGGGAGGGAAGCCAGGCACGCTTGCTGGGACACAGCAGCAGAAAGAGCTGCCCCTGGACGGTGCGGTTCGTTGGAAGAGAAGCTGCCTGTTCCAGCCGGCAGGTGCGCTGCTGCCATTAACCAGCTCAGAAATTGCACCTACTCTCTACTTTTCTTTGGAAGGCACTTAGCCCCATGGGAGATTGGTAACGGCCGTTAAATTCATTATTTCTAGCGTTGGACTCTAAGGATTTTTTCTGTATGTGGTTTAACTAGGTCAGTTCGGAAGGACCAGTGATTCTTCCACCATGGCCCTCAACCTCCAGACCTCCACCTGGTCTGCACCTCAGCCTGCACCTTGGGGTACTCTACTTTTCTACAGCTAGTTGAATGGCTCTTAATGGTTTCGACTTCCACCTCCAGCCTCTGGCCTGTGCGAGCCACCTTCTGACCACTGGATGCCTCCTTCCCTCGGTTTCCTTTCTCATCCTCCATTACAGCCGCAGCTTTGATTATGAAAGAGGGTGTGTTTTGCAACCAACCCAGGCTAAGTAGAGTCACCATCAGTTCTAGCAGCTTAAAAAAGAGAACCTTGGCCCTCCCTAGTGGCGCAGCGGGTTAAAGCACAGCACTAAGAAGCAAAAGCCACTTCTGCATGAGTATGATTCCCGCCCGCCCCAGAGAAGATCCACATGGCGTGGCAGACCTCTCCTGACCCGCCCGCTGCTCCCCTCAGCAGTGTACTTCGTCACTCGGCCTGTTCTGCTCCCCACTGTTTCTCTGGTGAAGCCTCTCACCGCCCCTGAGCCTCTGGCCTGTACCCCAGTTCTGTATGCACAAATAAATCTTTAAAAAAAAAAAGAGAGAGAGAGAGAGAGAGAATCTTGTGTTATCGGGCAACCCAGTGTGAACTGGGCTGCCTGATTGTGGGTCCTCACCCGCACACTTAAAATTTAACTGTACTGCAGGCACACACAAAAGGGTCGATAATGGGTTTATTTACAAAGAGGGAAAAGGAAAAGGAACAACCCAGGGAAAGAGAGAGAGATACAAGGTAACTAGAACATCCTACCAGCTCCACTGACTTGGAACTCCAGTAACACACTGAGAGCCACCAGTCACAAGGTCCTAGAGAGCTGTTGCCCGAGCCCCAGCCATTGAAAACTGCTCCCTATTTATCCCCCGAAGTCCCAGAATGCTGTGTAGCTCCGCCCTTGGGTCTTCGCAGTTCTCTCCCTGGTACTGCTGGGAGTTGTAGTTTCCAGTCACTGGAGTAGGGGGTGGAGTCTGCAAGACTCTGCAGAGTTCCTTTAGGACGTCCTTCCTCTTGGGGCCCTTAACACAATCCCCACAGGTTTATCAATAGTACAGGGGGAACAGAGCCAGAGGGGTATGACAATGCCCCCCACCCATGTGAATCTCTGTCCCCTCCCCAGGCTTCCTTTGGAGATGTCACTTGTCCTCTCATAGCCAGGTTGCTGTAGCCCTTCTTCGAGTGGTACCACCTTCATTACCTCAGCTCTAGGCTCAGGTAAGCCCACTACACATGCCCACACCATACTCCAGGTGTCTGCCATCACACATGCATGCCCCATGCCCACCCTCCTGACCATCCTTTGCATTCAAGGCTGCAGGTGATAGCCAGAGTCTGTAAAAGCCCGAACACCTTCACTTGCGCGACAAGGTGTCTTTGGTAGCCCAGGTGAAACCCAAGCTAAGATAGACACATAGCAAGAACACAGAAAAAAGATGATAGAGTCATAAATTATACACTCTAAATAAATCATGCATAAAGAGAAGATTAGAAGGGAAATTAGAAAAAGGTTGAAGTGAAGCCCATGAAAATGACCAGCCCTAAAAATGTGTGGGAAGGACTAGATAGGACTAGATAGATAACAATACTTTTATTCCAAAAGGTTAAAGTCCATGCCCTAAGTTCATGCCTTAAAAGGCGAGGTAAAGGCCCTCCCTGGTGGCGCAGCGGGTTAAAGCACAGCACTGAGAATCTAAAGCCACTTCTGCATGAGTTCGATTCCCGCCTGCCCCGGAGGAGACCACATGGCGCGGCAGACCTCTCCTGACCTGCGTGCTGCTCCCCTCAGCAGTGTACTTCGTCGATCTGCCTGTTCTGTTCCCCTCTCTGTCTCTGGTGAAGCCTCTCGCCGCCCCTGAGCCTCTGGCCTGTACCCCAGTTCTGTACAAAATAAATCTTTAAAAAAAAAACACCCCAGACCTTGGGCACACAGGAGACAGGATGAGGGATTGGAGGCATTCGGCAGAGGCCCCTGCCCACCTACAGCCTATAAGTTAGCCCTGACTTCCAGCAGGCTCCTTGTCCTCCCTGGAGCTGTTTCCAGAGGTGGCCCAGAGGCTCCTGGCCCAGAGGCAGTTTCCTTGGCCTTGGGTAGCTGTCCAGAGATAATACTTGAAAGGACACATCTTCCTTTAGTGTCCCTCAGGGGTCCCTACACCCAGGGGAAGGCCTGGCCTCTTCATGATCAAGCAGGCGAGGAGTTCTGACTCCAGCTCAGGGACTTTCAACCTGGTCACTCACAGGAATCACCTGGAGGTTAATAAAAAACGCCTGGAGCCTCATCTTCATTGCTCCTTTTTTGGTTCTAAAGGGTTTGGGGACTCTGCCGGGCTCTCCCCCAGCTACTGTGCTTTGGAGCAATACAAGCCCCCTTCCCATCCAGAACCAGAAAGGTACAGAAACCCTGTGTAGGCAGGAACCCAGTGGATGGTCACAGAGGGTGACTGGGCTTTGATGGTGGCATGGAAGGTGACATTCGTGTAAAGAGGGGTGACCCTGTGCCACTGAAACATATACAGTGTAGGTAACCATTGCTCTCTCACTGCCATTAACTTTGCAAGAAAAAAACAAGTAAGGTATAAAGGACTGGAAAGACTTCTACTTCCATGGACAGGAAGAATCAATATGGTTAGGATGTCAGGACCACCCAGTGTGATCGCCAGCTTGAAAACAACTCTGGGGCACAACAGGTTAGGAAGCAAGCAGACTGCAAGCAGGCTGCAGCCACTTCAGAGCAAGTTCGATCCCCAGCCCCAGAGGTGACCACATGGTGCAGCAGACCTCTCCTGACCCGCCCGCTCCTCTCCTCAGCAGTGTACTCCGTCCATCTGCCTATTCTGCTCCCCACAATGTCTCTGGTGAAGCCTCTCACCGCCCCTAAGCAACAAACGGAAAATAGCATGGATATATCGCCATTTACAATTTCTGAGTCCCTACAGGCTATGGAAGACCCATGTAGGGAACAAAAGGATAGGAAGTGTTGAAGATTATTGACCTAGTGTTTAGAAACCAGACTATACAAAGAACTTCTAAAACCAGCGACCAAAAGAAAATGATTCTAGTTGAATACTATTCTTAAATATTTTCCCTCAAAGAAGTAAAGTGTCCACAGTGACAGGACCCCTGAGCTCTCCTGCGAAGCTGCAGAGGAGTCCGGTGTCCCATGGGCTACAGACACGGACTCCAGGACCCACTGACCACAGCACACAGGGCCTGAGCCAGCCGGACGCAGGGGGATAAGGGCGCTCTGGGGATGAGAAGAAACAGTCTTGAAAATGAGAGATCAACAATTTTAACTGCTACCAGTATATTAGTATATTCATGATGAGAATGTCAGTATAAACCTCTGCCTCAAGCATCACCAGGGGTAAAGCCAGACATCACTATGGCGTATTCTAAGTGCATCATCCACTGTGTCCTTGTAAGGAAGAGTCCTGATGTATAACTGAAAACATGGCCACGCGCTCTATTTCCAGTTAGGAGAGACGCCCTTCACCCTGAGTAAACGTGGGAATATCAGCGTGAGCTTATGAGATGTTTATCATAAACATTAGAAACAGCACAGATGGTCTGAGGTGGGCTGTGCAGGGAATCCAGACAGAGAAAGACAAGCCTTGCTGGGTGACCCTTCTAGCAGTTCCCATCATACTGGGAAGAGGACTCATAGCCTGGCCTGGAGCACTCCTGCCTTCCACAGATCTCCTTGGGTAAAACCAGCAGCCAGAGTTGCAGAACTAGGCTGAGAAATGAGGCTGCAGCAGGTGTCCTGGACTCTCCCCCAGGAACCCCCTGAGCAGGGAGGCCCAGACCCAAAGGCCTCAGCTCCTGACAAACAGGGGCTCTGGGCTCTGAGCTGGAAAGGGAGGGGCACGCCGCCCCCTGGTGGGGGACAGGGGCACTGCAGCCACCTCCCCAGTCACAGACACAAGCACTCAGGGCCTGTACAAGGACTTTATTGGGGGTAAAAGACGCTGCAAGGAGAAGTTCAGGAGTCAGTTGTGAGCCAGGACATTCTGAACCCAGGGTATGAATGTGCTGACACGGGTGGCCACTATAGGTTTGTTGGTGGGGCAGGTTTTACTAGCAAAGGACATGACGCCCACGAGGGTCCAGACTCCACTCTTCATGCAGGAGAGGGAGCCACCAGAGTCGCCCTGTGGGAGGAGAAGGACCTGTCTGCAAGTCTGACCACGGAAGATGAACTCTGGAGGCTCCAGTCTAGCCCTGTCACAAGGGCTGGCTGAGCCCTGTACCCCACCAGCAGAAACACCATTAAATGGACACCCAGCTCTGTCTCCCGTTACGGTGTCGGGGAGGTGGAGTGGGACTTGTAGTCTGTACAAAAGCTGCTAGGATGTAGCCCAGGAGGTGGCTGTGAGAGGACCTCCCCACGGACAGACCCCATGCCTGGCCGAGCGTGGCTCTGCTGGGTGTGTAAGTACTGGGCCTGGCTCTCAGGGCACACATCGAAGAAAGGGGAAATGGGGCCTGGGGCAAGGAGTGTCCGTCCAGCCTGGCTGGGAGCAGTCAGTGAGCAACACATACCCGGCAGGAACAGGAACCTTGGAGTCCAGCGCAGATCAGAGACTTGGTGATGATCCTGGGCCAGTACTTCCTGCACGTGGACAGGGACAGGAGAGGCACGTAGGCCTGCTGCAGCGTGTCAGGAATCTTGTCACCTGTAGACAGAGGCCCACGGTAGGTCTGGACCCTCCTCCTCCTGGTCCCATCTGGTACAATAAGACAAAGACCCAGGTGCAGCTATCCCAGCTATCCCAGCACCACCCTTCTGAATATAGGCCCAGAGCCCAAGACCAGTCCCGGCACCATATAGACCGCAGAAGCATCAAAGGTCCACAGTCCTGATTCCACTCCAGGCTGTTCTGGCTTTGCCACAAGCACAGGCGATGGCACAAGCCCGGCCTGCACAGCCTGCTGTGGCCTGGGCCTGCCAGCCCGAGGGTGGGGCACTCAGGGGCAGCATTTTCTCCCCAGGGAAGGGAACTGACATCCTCCGATGTAAACCCCACTCTGAGGTTTACAGGGTGCTCCACCCTGCTGTCCCTTCGTGGCGGCTATAGCCCTGGCCTGGGCAGAAGGACTCAGGACATGGATGAGATCACGGAGCAGAGCCAGGCTGGGGAGGGGACACCAGGAGGGACCCTGAGACTGCCCCCCCCCCGGGCAATTCTAACTGGCAGCTATAAGCCCAAACACTTATGCATGGAGGGTACCAGGAAGGGGCTACAGGCTAGGACATAGCTGTGGCTGCAGAATTCAGAGTTCAAGGAACCATGGGCCTGTGTCCATGCACGTATGCCAGGTTTTCATTAAGTGGGTGTAGTCAAGAAGCTGGCACGTGTGTGACGCTGCTCATGTCTGGGTAAGTCCACAAAGCAGAGGCGTACGAGTACCGCTTGAGTTCAGCAGCCAGATGCCAGACTCAACTCCTGAGTTGCAAGGCCACGGTCACTCACTATTGAGCTGCGTGTCCCCCCAGCCCAGCACAGAGCACAGGGCCCCGGGAGGGAAGTGGTCATCAACACTGGGCAGGAGAACCAGGGACACCGTCCGGTGGATGTGAGCAGCCTCCTCCAGCTTCAGCAGGGCGATGTCACTGTAGACAGCGTTCATGTTGAATTTGGGGTGAATAAAAATCTGTGGGTGAGGACCAGGAGGAAAAGGGGAGACAAATGAATTCTGGGTAGCCCATTCGTGACAAGGATGAGGCCCACCTGCGACTCCTGTCTCTGCATCTAAGGGTATTCTCGCCACCTGCCCTGGGGTTGTTTCTCTGGGTCTGAAATACCTGGGCAATCTTCAAGATCTGGCGGCTGTCCTCAGGTGAGTTTAGGTCATATTGGCCACCAACAACCAGGTCAGACGTCCTGGAGGGAGCAGGTGGATAAGGATTAGTGGGAGGTCACTCCCCCCCCACCTTGTCCCTAGGGCCTTCCTGGCCTCACGTGACATTGCAGTGGGCAGCGGTGATCACCCAGGACTTGCTGATGAGGGAGCCCCCGCAGAAAATGATTCCAGAGGAAGTCTGTGGAAGAAGTGACTGTCAATACTGACAGGACATCAGTCACAACTATCGGGGTAGCACCCACTCACTCTGAGGCTGGTATCCCAGTGTGATCTACTAGGAGCAGATTCCCCTCACCTGCAGAGACACATGCCAGGGCCAAGAGCCAGGCCTAGCGTTCATCCCATTGATGATCCTGGGTGTAATGCTCAGCTCCGGGTCACTGGCAGGGGCCCCAGAGCCTGGGGTCACAGGGGGAGGGGAGGGGGGAGTCCAGTGAGTCTGCAGAAACCTGCTTGCACCCTCAGCCAGCACAGCACCACCCACACTCCCTCCTGGCACCCAGCACCTAGACTGGAAGACACACCCCTGCCTGCTGGCCTGTCACCCCCAGGGATGCAGAGGGACAGGCGGCTCCATCCGGGTCCCGCAGGCCAGAGGAGCAGACACAGGTTGCTACACACATCCCTGCTGGAAACTGCCTCCTCTGACTCTCCCAGGCTCATTTTCCCCAAGAAATGGGGAGCAAACATGGCCGCTTCACATTCAAGCTAACCAAATGTTGTTCTGTTTATGAGTTACACAATTAAAATAGTGAACTAGTCACTGGAAGTTCTCTCAGTGTCCTGTGGCAGGTGACTTGTACCCATTTACACTGAGGACCCTCTGCCTAGAATTTTAGGAACCTTCATTGCATAATATTGACGATTTTTTATTATTTAAAAAGATAGGGCTTTGACTCCCCGCTATGGACAGACACATCAAGGAAATAGAAAAGAAGGAATAAGATTGTCAAGAACAAGGAGGGCACGCAGGGCCCTTGGCATGTGCAGACACGTCTGCTGGGTCAGGACACGGGATCCTGAGCAGCTCCAGGGGTGTGAGAACTTGGCCACAGGCAGGAGGGGTGCAGGGCCAGCCCCTCCCATTGGCAGGCCACACCTGGAGCCCCCCAGTCTCACTCTAGAGAGCATCTGCCCTGCTGCTAGGAACAGGCACATGGCCTGGGCTCTTACTCCCAGGGGTGTCTCCAAATAGGCCAACCTCTACATCTTTCTGTGTAATGTGAATAAAACCACCGGCAGGCGCTGTGAGCGGCGCCCCCTGCAGGCGCGTCCTAGCAATGCAGGGGGCTGGTCCCTGTGCAGGAAGGGACCTGAGGTCTCACCCCAGTGGGGACAGCAGCTGTGACAACACAGGGAGGGGGTACAGGGAGGGGCTCCCCCACGGAGCCCGCTGTTCTGGGTGAGCCCCAGGGGTGAGTGTGTGAAGCCTGCACAGAGTGACAGGCAGGGACTCAGCAGAGGGAGGGTGCAGGGGGCTCTGAGCCTGGTGTGGGGGTCAGAGAGATCCCTGGGCAAATCTGGGAAAGGGATCTGTTCCTAGTCCTGAGCACATATACATGATATGTTAGTATTTTTCTTTGTCTATGTAAAGTCAACTATTAGAAGTGATGATGACACAAAATAAAATCCACAGGAGGTGGCCCTGGGTGTTTTCATGTGTCCGCTCTGCCACACCTGAGCCACCTCCTGGGCTCTTCTTCGGAGGCCCAGAAGGCTCTGCTCCACACATGGCACAGCTGTGAGGCTCAGCAATCCCAGAAGGGCCGCTCTCCTCCTGCATTTCAGATCAACTGTCTGGAGTGAAGCCAAGTAGGCAGGAGAGGGTCTCATGCGTCAGGCCTCACCCAGCAGAACTTCACAGTCCTCCAAAGGGGACCTAATGTGCCCACTGGGGCCTCCCACCTCCTCCAAATGCCTGGCAAATTCATCAGATAAGTGACACTCACCTAAGGAGGCCCCAGTGAGGGTGAAGCAGGAGAGAAGCCAGAGGAAGGCCATGGTGCAGTGAGGCAGGGTGAGGCCGCCTGCTCTTCAGTCCCTTTAATGTCCTCTGGAGGCCCTAGGTCATGCTGTGGCCCTCTGGGCATTCCCTGACCTGAGGGCCCCCTCCTCATGGTCAAACCCATCCTGGACAGGCTCGGCCAGGGTCACCCCAGCACCAGGGAAAAGGGAAATTGCCTGGCCAACCATCACCCTTCAGTGCAGCAACCCCTGGGGGAAACTCCCAGCTGTGGGTCCTGGAGGCCCTGAGCCCATCATGGGGGTGGCAGGTGCTCATCAAAGACTCATCTAAGGGAGCCTCGCCCAGGTGTCTGGGCACCCAGAGTCAGCACCCAATGACTCAATTTCACCACAGCCCCGAGAGACTTCAGGCTGTTTCTCTATCTGTTGAAGGAAACTCTTGAAGCCAAGAAAATACCTAAGGCTCCGTTTCCTTAGAAATGGGCCACAGAACCACCCTAGACATCTAGCCCTTGGGCACACGAGGGCAATAAACTCTCTTCCTGGCCAGAGCAAATTCCACTGTAAATCTAGATTAGCCATTTTAATTGACTTGTCATGATACATACTTTATGTTCAAGTGAAACCTTGAAAACTCTTATGAAATGTTTCGTTGAGCACCCAGAAAGCTAAGGACTGATATCAGGATCAAGGAGGAGAGGCCAGGAGGGGTGCCAGGGGTCCTGACCCAGGTGGGACCACAGGACCTGCCTGTTCCACACCATCTGCTGATGACTTTCCAATGAACTGCTACAGTCAAAATGACTGAACACAAGTCAGTCAGTGAAAATGCATATTCTGGTTAGGTTTTGTGAACCAGAAACTTATCCATTTTGTACATATGCCAACTAGAAGCTACACTTCCCCTCATCTGTGAGGACCAGGAACCAGCCTTTTTTGGTCAATTTCCTTGGTGCAAAGGGGGGTCAGTTATTTAAATTCCATTCTCTTTTCTGTAAAGATGGAAACTTTTCACATTAGTAGAAAACTTTGGGATTTTTTTTTAATTGCTTTTAGTTCATTTCCCATTAGAACACTCCTAGTTTACTGACTAGCCTGCACATTGGCCATCTGCAGACTTTGTTAGATGGTTCTGTGTTCCAGTCTCTGTATGGACTACAGAGCCACCTGCATTTGCTTTGATGCAAGGGAATTAATTGTGTCACTTGTATCTCAAAAACCTATCCTAGTCATGGGTATGGAAACTCCTCCTCACCCAGGTTATCCTCAAGTCCTGAGAGGGTCATCTCTGGTCTACATTGAAGTCCTCACACTCAGGGGACAGTCCCAGAGCCCCGCCAAGCCCACGCATCACACAGACACTGGATCTCCACAGAAGTAGTTCTTGGCCTTAGGAAAACATCCGTCTTTAACTATTCTCAGATTGTTCAGAACCAAAAGTTTGCTTTGAAATGCAAATTTAAAGAGCCCTTCTTACCTGAAGGAGTAAGTACAGCTTTTCATTTAAAAATGTGAGTCATGGTGATGGTGCACAGGTGAACTGCAGGTGGGAATTTTGCAGGGATAATACCTGAGAGGAAAGCATGCATTGTACAGAAATGAACACTAGTATAACATATAAATAATAAATAGAAATTTGAAACAGTAACATGCAAACTACAAAAATAAGTAAAAATTTGAATCAGGAAATTTGAATCAGGTAACGTTCGAATGTGACTTAATAACTTCCTTCTTAAAATCAGTAAACAGGTCTGAGAATAAATGAAAATGAAGGGATCTCTGTGTTGTCTTCCTGTTTTGACTTTAAGCTACAGATGCTGATATTAGAATTAATTCACATGTCATATAAATGGCACCCACACAAATCTCAACTCAAAATATATTATGAACTGGGCCAAAATATTTTTTTTAAAAAGGGCAAATTTAATCAAGATTTAGAGACAAAATAACAGTCTTTAAGGACTGATTATGTGCAGCTGTAAGTAGACTTATTTTAATTACATTTAAGGCAGTGGTTTCCAAGTTCTGCTCAGCAGAGCTGCAGGCATTTTGTGGTATGAACTAGGCCAAAATATTTTTTTAAAAAATCTTCTTCAAAAAAATCATAGTACGATTTTTGTAAATGTATAATGAAATAAATTAGAATGTATGTACTATAAAGCATGCATATTTTGTAAATTAACATACAACATGTAAACTCTTTTTATCCCAATTTAAATGTGCTGACCGCTGAAGTAGCAGATGGACTCCAGTGGGCGAAACAATCGGATGGACCTCCTAGTCTTTCCTGACCAGTGTCAGAAGAATCAGGTTCAAAATGGCATCTTTGGTCTTAAACCCAAGTCAGAAACATCAGCTGAGTAAATTTAGCTGAAAGATAAAATAGAAACAAGTAAGATAGGCATCTCTTGCTCCCTTTTGTAATAAAGTCAATGAAAGTTTTGTATTTTAACAGCAGGAAAATCTGAAAGCAAAAGAGAACTGGAAATTCCTTCTCTTCACTTAACAATCCTCTTGCTCTTTTCAAATTTTGATTTCTTACATCATCGGACACCTTTGTAGCGCCATTGTTCCCCTCTGGTGCAGCCCCCACCCCCATACTTGACCCACATACCCCACCCCACTCCCCCAGGTTTCCTCCCCTGCTCTGACCCTCCCACACTGTCTCCCAAACCTCTGGTCAGCTCACGAGTTTTGTCCTTCCTCTGGAAGCTTGTCCCTTCCTGGAGAGGCCCACATCCTGGACACAGCAGGCTCAGGGCCCATGTGCACTGGGAGCCGGGAGCATTCGGGAACTTCCTGCAAGGTCTGGTGCGTACAGCAGTTCTCAACTTTGATTTCAGGTCTCCCTCAGAATAGGAGACGGCCCGGTTTTCTCTACACACCTGTGTGGCTCTAGGTCTCATGCCTCCCCCCACACTCTTGCTGCTGCATCCCTACGACTGTCCCATGAGGCTGCTTCTGAGTGCTGTATTTCTGGCATGGGGAGCCAACCCTCAGCCACTGCAGCCGGCCTTTGACCCAGCTCCTCCTGTGCCCTTTCATGCTTTCCAACCCTCCCTGGGACCCCATCACACCTCTGATGTTCTCCTCCAGTTGGAAAAGCCCGTGGACACAGGCGGGGGTGGTTAGGAGCCCCAAGCACTAGACAGAGGCTGTAGTGGGACACCAGCTGCTTCCTACGCGAACTGAAGCCACCAACTTCCTGGAGCGGATTCAGGAACCTCCAGCCATGCGTCTCTCAGCGTCCCGGTAACTTAAAACTTCACAGAAGTTTAAATGAAGCAAAGCGTTAAATGCTTAAAATGGGATCATTTCAGAAAAATGACCACAACAGTCAAATTCAACAGTGACCAAATGGGGGATTCTCCCCAAGCTCCTCCCCTCTTCCATGAGAAGCTGAAACTCGTCTCCTGGATCTTGAATCTTTTTTTTTTTTTAAGATGTATTTATTTATGCTTACAGACCTGGGGTACAGGTCAAGGGTGTGGTAGGTAAGAGGATTCACCAGAGACAGAGTGGGGAGCAGAACAGCCAGATGGGGGGAGGGGAGCAGTGGGCAGGCCAGGGGAGGTCTGCCATGCCATGTGGGTCAGCTCCCTGGCTGGGGATTGAACATGTGCTGCAGTGGCTTTGGAGAGCTTCATAATGCTGTGCTTTAACCCGCTGCGCCACCAGGGAGAGCCCGGATATTGAATCTTGATGCCAGCGTGAGTCATCTCCTTAGCCCCTCACTGGGCTTGGGGTGTTTGTGTTTCCTTCCTGTCACCTCTGTCGTGTGTGGCTGCTTCTCATGGCTTTGCGCACACGTTTCCAGTGAGTGGGGCAGTCTACAGCCTCCACAACACCGTGACAAGAAACTAAAATAAGAGCCTTGCTTGAGTGGGGAGTGTCACTCTGTCAGCAGGAAAGTAAGTTAAGTGAACACCACTGTAGTCTCGTCACCTTCAACTAAAAAATAAAATTATATTTAATACAAGAATGCATCTGTGGTTGGCACTGAGCCCAGAACCTTGACATCAACTCTACCCTAACCCCTGACCTCTCACTGCATGATACGGGGGTCACATTCCCCAGGCCACGTGATGGGTTGCTTATTGCTTGACAAGGTATCTGGTCCCTTCTGGACGCAGATAATTTCAGGGCCCGGTGAGCACCTCCAGGTGGTTTACACTGATAACAAGGAAGAATCAGCTCTTCCCGAGGGCACCACCGCATGGCCGGGAGCCTCCCCTGAGCTGAGCTGAGGAGGCCCTGCACACACACACACACACACACACACACACCGTCCCTCTGCAGCCCGCTCCTGTGGGACCCTCCTCACAACACTGCACGGAGCCACTAACGGCCATCTCCCCACGGCACCCGGGACAGGGCCAGACCCCTCTGTGGGGCTCAGAGTCAGCTTTCTGGGTGGGTGGGAAGGTCACTGGCCTGATTAGTTCAGTGACACAGACACCCTGAGACCCTAGGCAGAAAGAGAGGGTGACCCAGGGCTCAACCCGAATCACTAGAAGGGGACAAGCAAATTGCTATGAGCCAGCCTCGGTCAGCATTTGATACTTACAAAATCACCCATCTGATGGCAGCCATAACATACTGTGCCCCACCCCCCAACACCCCAAAGCTCCAGCAACTGACCCTCAAGAGCCAGGATGGAGGAAACAGAGATGGTCTCCCTGCTCCAGCCTGTGGGACACACAAGTGTCCCACGCAGGATGGAGGTTTCTTCCACCAGTCCTGCCAGAGAGAAGACCCTAGAGCGAGCTAAGAGCTGCTGGCAAGGGCAGGCAAGGCCTGAGGGAGGCTCACCAGACACAGAAGTTTGCAAGGTGGGCTTTGACCTAGTCACGACCACCCTCAGCGCAGGAGACCCCGTGTCTCGGGGGGCAGCAGCCTAAGCCCCTGCCCAGGCAGGGTGCCAGGGCTGCCCGGATGTGTGATGAACCTGCACCATCCTGTCTCTGAAAAGTGCAAGTTTTCAGATCTGCTTTTCCCTCCTGGACGTGCAGTTCCCCTTCCAGAGACCCTGCACCTTCCACGCAGGGGTGGGGGGCGGGGGCTTGAGCCCAGGCCCTGTGCGCAAAGTCAGCTTGTCTTGGCCCTAGTTCATCTCCCTTGTGTCACTTTATTTCCCACCTGTGCACCTGGAGGGCACAGCAGGAAGAGCCCCCTTCCCCCACCCCCATCATTCTTCAGGGACTGGCTCCACAGATGTTCTTGCCCGCATGTCGCTTCCAGGAGGCGGAGATGCCATTCCCAACACACCCACACCACGGTTGTGCGGGTGCTCCCAGCCAGGTGCTTTGAAGTTCAGGTGGGGCTCAGGGGCTCAGAGATCCCCGCCTCTGTCCCAGCAGCGGCAGCCACCAGAGAAGCAGGCTCACCTAGACATGCCCCCAAGCTGTTTCAGGCCTGCTTTCCTCCCAGTGACCCGGACCCTGTCACATAGCAGGGAGGGGCCGTCCAGAACCTCCCAAACCCCCACGCTAACTGGATTCTGCGTCTGCCACATCAAGACAAAATGGACAAGACCACTCATTCCAATGGAAAGAAACCTAAAACAGTCAGCGTGAATAGAGAGAAGATAAGAAAAAAGACAAAGAATGTAGTTTCCAAATCAAGCTCCCGAAGTAGCTACCCACCCCCCAATATAAATGTCCAGCAAAGCAGGGTGGGAATTAAGCGGGGCCACTGAGGCCTAGACCCTGTCGCTGGTCTAAGGCACCTTCTGGAGGGGACCCACAGGAGAGGGGCAGACTGCTGTGCTCCCCACTCTCTCTGCTGAATCCTCTCTCCGCACCTGCACCTCTGCCTGTAACCCACGTCTGTATGCATACATAAATAAATATTATTTTTAATTCTTGTAAAAAAAAAAAAAGGAAAGGGGCATAAAAGGCCACACATGTCAGGAAGAAAAAAACCAACAAACAAAAAATCAAATTCAGATAAAAACTGCCAACTTGGGCCCTCCCTGGTGGCGCAGCAGGTTAAAGCACGGCACTAAGATGCTAAAGTCACTTCAGCATGAGTTTGATCCCCACCCCGGAGGTGACCCACGTGGTGCGGCAGACCTCTCCTGGCCCGCCCGCTGCTCCCTTCAGTAGTGTGCTTCATCCGTTGGCCTGTTCTGCTCCCCGCTCTGTCTCTGGTGAATCCTCTCACCGCCTCTACACCTCTGGCCTGTACCCCGGTTGTGTATGCATAAATAAATAAATCTTAAAAAAAAATTGCCACAGTTAACATAACAAGAGCCTCTCACTTGCAACTTTTTCAGCCAATCCAAGACAAAAAAGCAACCGCAGCGTCTTCACCAGTCTCTGCTCCTTGCACTCCTCCAGGTCTCATCTGCTCTCCATCCTTCCTCCATCTCCTCTCCACCTTCTCCTCCTTCTCATCCTCTTCATTGCTCAGCTCCACACTGCCCTGGTGGACAGGAAACAGGGGCCACCGGGCTACACAAATACTTAGCTGCAAAGAAGTCACCCTAGGAGCCCACCTTGCTAGAAGACATCACCCCCAAGAGACCCACCTCAGCACCGGGGGCCCCATCAGATGACTTGTACCTCACAGGCCCCACGAGCTCCCTGCTGCACGGCCCAGGCCTTCTCAAGAGAGGACCCCGAGGACGGATGGACCCATGCAACAGAGACCTAAGTGCAGATGTTGTGGGGATATTTCCAAGGCACAACCCACATCCTTGAACACATTCAGAGGTCCCCAGATCTCATGCATTCCCAGAACTGGAACCCCCAGTGCGGCAGGTGGCAGACTGCACTGGGCTGCTCTGTGTGCTGCTACCGGATGGGCCACTCGAGCCTACTGAGGTGGGCGCCGCTGGCCAGGCCCTGCCCCGGATGGACCCACCCCACCCCCAGGCTGTGAGGGCCCCACCATGGCTGTGTCACTGGGGAGGCAGGGGAAGCCCCAGACAATGGACATTTTGTCATACAAGGACCAGACTTCAGTTCATTGTCCAGGCGACATTTGCTCACAGCCAGAGGTGAAGAAGAAACACCCCCTAGAGCTGGGACTAGAGGAGACCAGCAGCTACACCCACGTCCTTCATAGCCCAGCTCTCAGAGTCACAGGAAAGCACAGTTGGTGCAACTATGTCACCTGCCCGCCCCTGCCCCTACCAAAGCGATAAATTCCTGAGAAAGTGAGCCCAGCAATTGGGTCATGGGTTTAATCAGAAAACACGCAAAACTGTTGGGGCACGTAGTGGTCTCCCCCAACACACAGCCCTCCCGTGTGGCCCAGGCCTGCCCTGTCCCCTCAGGACCTGTGAGGAACAAACTGGCTGTTTCTAGTTTCCTGTGAACAAGGTTCCTTGCTTGGTGGGGACCCACAACCCTCACAAGAACCTCCAGTCTGGCCCCACCACAGCATGGGCCTGAAAGGGGATGTTGTGCACCCATCCCGGCCAGGCTGGGTCCCCATAGGATTAGGCAGCTTAAATGAGAACCCGGAGCCCCAGCATCATCCCCTCGGGCTTATCAATAGAACCAGGGGACACAAGCCAAGGGGGACAGCACCTGAGCCCCGTAAACTCCTACATGCTCCTTGCCTGGGTCTCTCTGGCCTCTCCCGTAGCCTCTTCCTCTGGCAGACAACTGGGCTCTCGGAGCCCCGGCCTCACTGAGAAACGCTGCCTTAGGTCTGACCGCCAGGCCCAGGGAGCCCACTCCTCAGGCCCACATCCCCCACCCCCGCAGTGTCCGCTGTGAAAATATCCCATCAAAATGTGGAAAGCTGTTTATCTGAGAAGGAAACTGAGAAGACACCAACACTTTAATGAAACGGTTTAATGCCACAAGTCAGCCCTAAAAAGCTACAAAGACAGCAAGAGAAACCAAAAAGGAAAGATGAGCTAGTAAAGAAAGGAACAGAAAGTCATGAAATAAAACAATATTCCCATAAAGCAGAACTTCAAACTTGTGTGAATGGGGTAGGAATGTGGGATTAACAGTGAATGGAAAGGCCCCATGATGTAAATACTCAGATAACAAGCCCAGCTTCCAGAATGTTGCAGAGCTTGCTCACTGGTCCTACCTGTAGCTGTTTCCAGAGTTGCGTCAGAGGCTCCTGGGCTAGTTCCTTGGCCTTGGGCATCTGTCCATGGATAATCTGCATTCCTGGTGGCCATAGTTGAAAGGACACACCTCCCTTTAGTGCCCCTCAGGGGTCCGTATACCCAGGGGGTGGTCTGGTCTCCTCCTCCCCAAGCAGCAAGGAATTCTGACTCCAGCTCAGGGTCTTTCAAGTGCTCACTCACAGGAATCACCTGAGCTTTGGGACCAGCCCTGGGCCTCCCCTTCATTGCCCCTTAATTGGTTCCTAACGGGCTGTGGGTGTGCCGGGTTCTCCCCAGGCCTGTGCTTTGGGGCAGCAGAGGCCGCCCTGCCCCCCAGACAGGGGCAGACACCCTGTGGGGCAGGAGCCCAGGAGGACAGGGGCACCCCCCGCTTGCCCCCCCCCCGGGCCTCTGGGTGGGTCCCCAGGGCTGAGCAGGTGCAGGGGCAGTGATGAGCTTGGGGTCTGGCTCCCCTCACATCCATGGCTCAGGCCCTGGAGCCACTGGCCTCTCCCCTGTGTGCAGGACACGCTCCCAGGACTGTGGACGCTGCAGACCCAGCCAGACCACGGGAGCCTGGGCCCTCGGCTGCCCCCACAGAAACTCACAGGGACACAGGGACACTGCGTGGGGAGACCCAAACCACCTCAGCAAACCCTTGAATCTGACTGCAGAAGTGAGGCTCAGAGCCACATGAGAGCAGGGTCGGGACACAAGTGGATGGGATGGAGGGTCCTGAGGCTTTGAGGGTGGCCTAGTGTGGGAAGATTCACCTGAGCAGGGGTTACACTATGCCCCTAAAACTCAGTGTAGGGAACTAGTCATCTGTGGAAATAACTCCATTTAAAAAAGAACAACAGAAGTAAAGGAGGATGAAAGGACAGGGAGACTCCCATCCTCTTGGACTGAGACTGAGTATGGAGAAGATGTCACAGCCCATGTGATCACCATGTGAAAGTGATTCCTGCCATGTTCAAATTGACACCAACACTCAACCAACGAATGACAAATAATCATTTCTAGTTGCCTGGTATAAAGGGAGGAAACACTGAGTGGGGTATCCCCATTTACAGCCCAGCCAGAATGATGGTCCAGGCCTCAGGCCTCACATCTAAGATGCTCACGGAGACCAGCCTGCACCCTAGGCAGGAGCCGGCCCCTGCAGCCTGTGTGGGACTGAGCAGGAGCCTCATCAGGTCTCAGATTCAGTTGTCAATCAAAGGAAAATTGTGGACACAAAGGGGTCTTATAAGAAAGATTTGTCAGCCTGGGGGCTGAAAGGAAGCTCCCAACTCACTTTCGTTGAGTTGCAGGGCCTACTTAAAGGGAGGGTAGGGAGGAGACTGTGAAGATTGCCTGGATGGAAGTGCAGGGACTCAAGGCAGAGAGAGGTGTCTGGAGCTTGTGGGATGGGACAGGGCAGCCTGGGGGGCCTCTTGGTCCCAGGGCCACCTGCTGGGAGGACTCTTGGCTGAGTGGAGTCCTCCACAGAGCTCCTTGGGACGACATAGCAGCTGAAGCAGCAGAAGCCAGGCTGAGAAATGAGGCTGCAGCAGGTGTCCTGGACTCTCCCCCAGGGAGCCCTGAGCAGGGAGGCCCAGACCCAAAGGCCTCAGCTCCTGACAAACAGGGGCTCTGGGCTCTGAGCTGGAAAGGGAGGGGCACACCGCCCCCTGGTGGCGGACAGGGGCACTGCAGCCACCTCCCCAGTCACAGACACAAGCAGTCAGGGCTCTGTGCAGGGAGTTTATTGGGGATAAGGAAGGTGAATGAGGATGAGGGCTCAGTTGCTGGCCATGGTCTCCTGAATCCAGGGTGAGATTTTACTGACTCGGGTGAACACTAGCGGTTTTTGGGTGGGGCATGCTTCACTTATAAATGACATGACGCCCACCAGGGTCCGGACTTTTTTCTTCCTACAGACCAAGGGGGCTCCAGAGTTGACCTGTGGGAGGTAAAAAGACACGATGCAGTAGTGGCCAGAGGGCTCTGTAGTCCAGCAGCGGAGATGTCATTTCAACGGCAGCCCAGCTCTGCCTCCTTCCACTGTACAGGGAGAGGGACTTAGACTGTGGCTTCCAGATCTGGAAACTGAGCCTGGATGTGGCTGTGAAGGGGCTCACAGGGTCACCATTCCCATGCCAGGTAGTCAGGTACTGTACTGGGCCCTTTGAGTGTTGGTCTTGGCTCCAAGGCCCAAATCAAGAATCTGGTAGTGGGATCTGGGCAAGGAGAATTCCAGCAGCCTGACCGAGACAGTAGCAAGAGGTTGGTTGGGGCGATACTTACTTCCCAGCAGGAGACACCATTGTCTCCTGCACAGATCTTGGCATCCGTGATTGACTTGCCCCAGTGCTTCCTGCACTCAGAGTTGATCAGGAGAGGCACCATAGTCCGCTGCAGCTCCATGGACTGGCTGGTGTCTGCACAGAGAGAGGGCCAAGAAGCATCAGGACTTATTTCTCCTAGCCCATGTGAGGGCCCAGGGCCATGATACCACCTTCCAGGTCCCCATCTTTCTGTACAAGCATCGGGAGGTTGGATAGGAGATCACCACCCCTTTAGATCTGAAGATTCAAAGGGCCACAGTCTTTGTGATGCTACTAGGGAGAGGACGTTCCAACATAGTTATAACACAAGCTCTGGTGCCCGACCAGTGTGGACGGGGCCCTGCCAGCCCAGAGAGGGCTCAGGGACAGTATTGCTCTCCCCAGGGGTGGAGACTGACATCCTTCTGGCAGGAGAATGCTTTATGGTGGTGACAGAGAAACCTATTCCCTGCACTTTGTTCTGGGATGCTGTCCTGGGAAGGACAAGCCAGATAGCACTGACTGGGCACAGAGTGAGGATGTTAGGGGACTTCATCACCATGGGCCAGTCCAGGAGGTACTGAGACTCAGAACCCAATTGGCCCAGAACCTGACCCCCAGAAAAATTTAATAGGAAGCTGGAAGCAAAAACATAGGCACAGAGGGCACCAGGGATGGGCCGGCTGTGTCTTCGGGGACTCAGAGGTCAGGGCGCCATGGCCACGTGGCCGTGTGCCTGCCAGGTGCCATTAGAAGGCTGTGGTGGGTGGGAGACACGTTTAACACACTGCTCTGATTTGGACAAAGGCAAAGCTGAGTCCCACGGGCCCTTCCCTCTCTTCTAGTTGCAGAACTGACCCAGGTCCTGAGTGCCAAGTCCAGTCACTCACCATTAGGGTAGGTCAGCGCCCAGCCCATAGTGCCGCACAGGCGCCCAGAGCGGAAGCTGTCGGAAGCTGTGGGCAGGAGTGCCGGGGACACTGTCTTGGAGAAGCGGGCAGGGCTGGCCAGCTTCAGCAGAGCGATGTCACTGTCCACGGGATTCAATTTCAGTTGGGGGTATATAAAAACCTGAGTGAAAAACAGCAGAAGAGGAGAGAAAGGAAACTGGGGTGGCTCCTTCAGGGGATAAATACAGGGGAACAAGGACTGAGACCCGTTTGCCAGCCCATGTCTGTCTGTACCTAACGGGTCTCCTCCTCTGATCCTGCCCCCTAAAGCTTCACAGACCTCCCAGAGCAGGTGCATGGGGTCTGGCTTACCTTGGCAATATTCAGGATCTGGATGTCTTCCCTACCTGAGCGGGACTCATACAGCCCAGTCACAACCAAGTCAGCTGTCCTAGAGAAAGCATCTGTGTAAGTAAGGATTAAGGAGGAACCACTCCCCCAACTCTCCCTGTCCCCCACCCCCGGCCCTAGGACCCTTCCTGGCCTCACGTGACATTGCAGTGGGCGGCTGTGATCACCCAACTTTTGTTGATCAGGGAGCCCCAACAATACTGGATCCTAGTGGGCGTCTGCAGAAAGAAGGCCGGTCAAAAGAGACAGGACGCAGTCACACCCCAAGTAGCCCCACTGCCTCAGGGGTAGGGAATGTGCCACTCGGGTGCAGACTCCCCTCACCATCACAGCCATGAGCCAGGGCGAGGAGCCAGGACGAGCGTCTGTCCCATTGATGATCCTAGGTTGAATGCTCAGCTCTGAGCCATTGACAGGGGTCCCAAAGCCTGGGGTCACAGGGGGAGGCAAGAGGGGGGAGGTCCAGTCAGTGTGCAGAAACCTGCTGCACCCTCAGCCAGCACAGCACCACCCACACTCCCTCCTGGCACCCAGCACCTAGGCTGGAAGACACACCCCTGCCTGCTGGCCTGTCACCCCCAGGGATGCAGAGGGACAGGCGGCTCCATCTGGGTCCCCCTGGCCAGAGGAGCAGACTCAGGCTGAGGAAAGAGGGTTCCCTGACCCCACATGCCTGCTAAGACCTCTGCCCCTCTTACTTTCCCTGGCTCATTTTCCCAGGAAATGAAGAACATTTCTGCTACCTCACAGTCGATCTCCCCCAAGAGATGTCTATGGCCAGAGTGATAGAGGAAAAATAGTGAACTCCAAGTCATGGCCCCTGGACATGTAGCTTAGGGACATGACATGAGCTGATTTCCTGTGCTGGACTGTCAGATATATTGAAACCATTCATGTGAGAGATTATTTTAAAAGATAAGGCTTTAACTCCCCGCCATAAAAGCTTTATCAAGGAAAGGAAAGCAGAAGGGGGGAGATGCCACTCACGGCCCTTGACTTATGCAGGACACGTGCTAGGTCAGGACACGGGATCCCCAGCAGCCCCAAGGGTGTGAGAACTCGGCCACAAGAAGAGAGGGGGGCAGGGCCAGCCCCTCCCAAGCCAGGCACCCTCAGGGTCCCCCAGGCCTTGCTCCAGGCATCATCTTCCTCCGTCCCTGGGGACAAGGATATGACCCAGCCACTCCCTGAAGGGAGACTCCAAACATTTCCTCCTCATCTTTCTCCTAAGAACAGAAAACCCCCAGCAGGAGCTGTGAGCGGCGCCCCCTGCAGGCGCGTCCTAGCAATGCAGTGGGGCTGGTCCCTGTGCAGGGAGGGACCTGAGGTCTCACCCCATTGGGGACAGCAGGGAGGGAATACAGGGAGGGACCTCCCCCCACGGAGCCGGCTATTCTGGGTGAGCCCCAGGGGTGAGTGTGGAAGCCTGCACAGAGTGACTCAGCAGAGGCCCCTGTCCAGGAGAGGGGCGGGTGCAGGAGGCTTGCTGAGCCTGGTGTGGGTCTCAGAGAAGTCGCTAAAGCAACTCTGGCAAAGGAAACATTTCAAATTCCTGAGCACAGATACAAAGGCATGATATTAATTTGTCTTTTGTGTCATTTTTAACCAACCATTTATTGAGTGCCCAGTCTGGCACTGAATAAAATCCTTAGGGTGTCTCCTGACCACCTCCTTTCAGACCCTCTGGGCCAACCTGAGCCACTGGGCTCCATCCTCTGAGGCCCAGAAGGTTCTACTCCATCCCTGGCACAGCTGTGAGGGCTCAGAAAGCTCAGAGGGCATCTCTCCTCCTGCAAAGTCAAGCTCACTGTCTGCACTGAGGCTGAGGACAGGTGAGGGGCTCAGAGCACCTCTCGCCTGAACCAGAGGGCTCACCCAGCAGAATACTAGTACACCAGGGGATGATTGATGCCAGGTTACTGGCGCTGAGAGTCCTCCTTCCCAGTCTCCTCCCAGTGCAGGCACATCCCTCAGACCCTAACACTTACCAGAACAGGCCCCGATGAGGATGAAGCAGAAGAGAAGCCCAAGCAAGGCCATGGTGCTCAGTCAGGGACGGTGGGCCGCCAGCTCTGGGGTTTCCCGGGAGCCCTAAGTCCCACCCAGGCCCTCTGGGCCTCCCTGACCTGAAGGCCACTGTCTTCATGGTCAAACCTGTCTTTGAGTAGGTCACCCCAGGTCACCCCGCACCAGAGAAAAGGGCAACTGCCTGGCTCACTGTCACCCATCACCCTTTCCCTGGGGGAAGCTCCCAGCTGTGGGCCCCGCAGGCCCTGGCGCCATCATGGGGCGGCAGGTGCTCACAAAGACTCATGTAAGGGAGCCTCACCCAGGGCACCCAGAGTCAGCACCCAAGACTCAATTGCAACACAGACCTCAGAGCCAGGACCCCAGGCTGCCTTTCTATCTGCTCAGGGAAACTCCCTGAGGCCCAGCCCCTCAGGAAAGGGCCGCGGAGCCTCCCAGACACGCAGGCTGGAGTGTAGCAGGCAGGACAGTACCTCACAGGCTTATTCCAATTTTCTCTTTAAAATTCACCATTTAGGACCATCATCATGAAATTCCTAATATTTCCAAGTGAGGTTTTATAAACTCACCATAAAAGGCCCACTGAGAGTAGAAAGCTCTGGGCTGATGTCAGGACTGGAGGGGAGCCAGGAGGCCAGGAGTGGGGTGTCCCAGGCCCTGCTCTGGGGGGGACACAGCCTCCTGCGTGTCTGCTGGTGACTTTACACTGACTTGCTGCAGCAGGAAGACCGCGTACCAGGAAGATTACATCTTTTTATCAATCCTTTTTTTTCTTATATCCATATTCTTATATCTATATTTGTGAACATTTCACCTGGGTTCTAGGTGTTGTTTTTTAATTTAAGCATTTTGTACATCTACCAACTAGAAGCTACACTTCGCCTCATCTATGAGGACCAGGAATCAGCCTTTTCTGGTCAATTTCATATGTGCAAAGTGGCTGTCAGTTGTTTAAATTCCGTGTTCTCAGATCTATGAAGGAGAAAATTTTTCAATTTCATTACCCACTAGCATTCTCCTAATTCAATGACTAACCTGTACATTGGTGATCGCAGATTTTGTTATATGGTTCTGTGGCCCAGTCTCTGTGTGAAATAACGAACCACCTACAAGCACTTCACTGTATCTCAAATTAATTGGGAGTTTTTCATTCAGTAATTGGCCTACTGAAAATATCCACCTTTGATTAGATCTACATGAGGCCACAAGGAACAGGTCACAGGGCTTGGGTGGAAATTGCTCTTGTATTAGCTTCAAGCTCCCTGTCTAACCACCATGGAGACTCCATTTGCAATTAGCAGCAGAGACCACATAAAGGCACAGAAGCCCGAGATCCCCCGGATCGGGGGGAGGTTGCCTGGTGCCAGCTGACCCCTGGAGCAATTAGGACCCAGCCCTGGCCAGGTGAGACCTGGGCCAGACCGCTGTCAGGGTCCTTGTTTATTAGATAATTGTTCAGCTTGTCTGGGTGGGACAGGTACCCTCTGCTCTCACACAGAGCTCAGCACCAGACTGAGCTCAGGTGAAGAGGAGCTAAGTTTGCAGCCAGAACTGTCAGTTTCCTCCAGAGAGGGCCGGTCTTGCATGTGGTTCCCTATACTGAAAACACCTCATTAGCAATTAGCCCCCCTCTTCAGGGGTGCATGCTCTAAATAGGGGCCATGCATCTGCCCCACCAAAAAGGCAAAACAAGTCCCTTTATGTGAGAAATGTCTATAGACACTCTCCTTAGAGAGAGAGTGATTCCCGAAAATCGCTTTTTCATAAGATTACAAAAACTCCCCACCTACCCACGCGCACCTAAGGACAGAAGCAGAGACTCCAAGCCCAGAAGCCCTACACCCACCCTGAGGCAGGACGCAATGTGGGTGGAAGGCAGAGAGAACCCTCCGGTCTCAACTCTGCTCTGCTTCCACCTTCTCCTCCAAGTCCGCCCTTCCAGTGTCTCGCCCCTACTTCACCCACTTCCAATGTCTGTCACCCCGCTGCTCCCAGAGTCCCAGGGGACTGGCTGCTGCAGGTCCTCCTGGTGCCTGAGGTCACCTGGAGTGGGGCTTGCTGGGAGCGTCCTGCTGGGGAATTTTCATTCAGTTGCACAACTCTGAAGTACATATCGGGACTGAGAGAAATTTAGAGCTCCCATCAATATTTAGTGAGGAAATAAATGTCATTCACGAAAAAATAAGGGAAAGCTCTAGAGAAACCTTGTCTAGTTGAGGGAGTTTTAAAACTAAAAGTACAGAAACAAAATAAAATCATGAGAGATGATGGCCCGGCTGTTACAAATCCTTATTTATACACTGGACAGATGAAGTCAAAGATGTTCATATGTTTAACTGTGGACATGAGAAACGCTGTGGCATTTCCAAGTTCTGTGTCCTTACATGCAACCTGTAAAACATCAGCTTTGAAGATAATCAAGGGTTTGCTTTTTTTACATTTCACAATGACAGATCTGATAGAAACAAGGAGGGAGAGAGTCACCGGCAGAGTAACTGCTGGGCCAGAAAGATCCACAAAAAGGGTTTTGAGAGACTGACCGGGGTGAGTGGAGGGCAGACAGAAGCCTCCTCTGCCCCCTTCTTGAGTCCCGCCCATCTGGCCTGGGTCTTCACAGAACAGAACCTCTCAGAGCTCCCCCAGCCACGTCCTCTGAAACAGGCCTCGCTCTACGCATGGCTGAATGGAGCCCAGGACTTGACACCCCCTGGGTCACCCCGTCCTCCAAAAGCCTTAGCAGGAGAGAGGAGCTTGTTCAGCCTGTGGGTCTTTGTTTCTGCCCTTGTAGGGAACTGCTCCCTGCTGTGTTCACAGAATATGAGAGAAGAAGGTGATGGCATGGAAACGCCTCCTCACCCAGGCTACCCTCAAGTCCTGTGAGGGTCAGCTCTGGGTCTGCTCTAGAGTCCATATACTCTCCACACCTTTCAGCAGAATTCAGAGGGTCTCCAAGAACACCGCAAAGCCCACCCTTCACACATCCCCCCTGGGCTTCATGGAAGAAGCACTTGGCCGTGGAAAAACAAGCATCTTTAGTTCTGCACACTTTCTTAAGATTCAAAAGTTTCTTTCAACTGCACATTTAAGGAGCTGTTTTACCTGAAGGAGTAAATAGAAAGTTTCACTTAAAAAGTTGAATTAGAGATAATGTCACGACGCGTAGCATAGGAGTCTGGGTGGGTCCCCAGGCCTGAGCAGGTGCAGGGGCAGTGATGAGCTGGGGGTCTGGCTCCCCTCACATCCTGGGCTCAGGCCCTGGTGCCTCTGGCCTCTCCTCTGTCTGCAGGACGCACTCCCAGGACTGTGGACACTGCAGACCCAGCCAGACCATGGGAGCCTGGGGCCTCGGCTGCCCCCACAGAACCTCACAGGGACTTGGAGGCCAATGGGTGCAGAGACACAAACCATCTCAGCAAACCCTTCTGTCTGACAGCCGAAGTGAGGCTCAGGGACCCAGAGCAGAGTGAAGAGAAGGGTCAGGGCACAATGGACGGGATGGAGGGTCCTCAGGCTTTGAGGGTGGCCTGGTAGCTAACTTAGTGCAATGAACTTAAGTAACTTAGTGTAGCTAATTAATGTTATATCAAAAGAAATAATTCTATAAAAATGACATAGAGAAGGATAAAGGGACGGGGAGACTCCCATCCTCACAGACTGAGATTGAGTATGGAGAAGATGTCACAGCCCATGTGATCACCACGTTGGAAGTGATTCCTCCAAGGTCTATATGACACCAAAGCACAAGCAACAGGGGAAAATAATCATTACTTGTTACCTGGTAAGAAAAGGGGGAGACAATGAGTGGGGTATCCCCGTTGACAGCCCAGCCAGAATGATGGTCCAGGCCTCAGGCCTCACGTCTGGGATGCTCATGGAGACCAGCCTGCACCCCAGGCAGGAGCCTGGCCCCTACAGCCTGTGTGGGACTGATGTGAGCCTGTCCAGGTATCATATTCGGTTGTCAATCAGAGGAAAATTATGGACACAAAGGGGACAAAAAGAAAGATCTGTCAGCCTAGGGGCTGGAAGGAAGCTCTGCCAGCTTCTGGCTCAGAGTGAGTGTGCAGGACCTGGTGAGAGGCAGGGAAAGGAGGAGACAGAATGGGTGGTCTGGGGTGTGGGGTGCAGGGTCTCAAGGAAAAGAAAGGTCTTAGGGCATATTATAAGGGACAAGACAGCCTGGGTAGCTATCTTGGTCCCAGGACCCACACTGCTGGGAAGAGGACTGCATGTGCTGGCCTGGAACATTCCTGCCTTCCACAGAGCTCCTCGGGACAACCCAGGAGCCAAAGCAAAATAAACCAGCCTGAGAAAGGAGGCTGCAGCAGGGGTGTGGACTCTCCCCCAGGGGCCCCTGAGCAGGGAGGCCCCGACCCAAAGGCCTCAGCTCCTGACAGACATGGGCTTTGGGACCCTGAACCTGGAAAGGGAGGGGCACGCCGCCCCCTGGTGGCGGACAGGGGCACTGCAGCCAACTCGCAGTCAAAGACACAAGCAGTCAGGGCTCTGTGCAGGGGCTTTATTGGGGATAAGGAAGATGAATGAGGATGAGGGCTCAGTTGCTGGCCATGGTCTCCTGAATCCAGGGTGAGATTTTACTGACTCGGGTGAACGCCAGTGGTTTTTGGGTGGGGCATGCTTCACTCATGAATGAAATGACACCCACCAGGGTCCAGACTTTTCTCTTCCTACAGACCAATGGGACTCCTGACTCGACCTGTGGGAGACAAAAAGACACATGTAGGAGAGAAACTGGGAGACAATCTGGCCTGTCCTGCAGGTCAGGTGTCTCTGTAGACCATCAGCGGAGATGCCATTTCAACAGTAGCCCAGCTCTGCCTCCTTTATCGTGTTGGGAGAAGGACTTGGACTGTGGTTTCCAGATCAGCTGCAAACTGAGCCTGGATGTGGCTGTGAAGGGGCTCACAGGGTCAGAACCCCCATGTCGGGTAGTCACATCCTTTGGTGGGTATGTTAAGTGCTGGTCCCCACTCCAGAGCATGATCTGATAGTGAGATCTGGGCAAGGAGAATTCCTGCAGCCTGAGCAGACAGTAGTGAGGGGCTGGTTGGAGAGACACTTACTTCCCAGCAGGAGACACCATTGTCTCCAGCACAGATCTTGGCATCTGTGATTAATCTGCCCCAGTGCTTCCTGCACTCGGAGTTGGCCAGGAGAAGCACCACAGCCTGCTGCAGCTCCCTGGACTGGCTGGTGTCTGCACAGAGAGAGATGGGCCAGGGGACTCAGCGCCTTCTTTCTCCTAGCACATGCTGAGGGCTCAGGCCATGATACCGCCATCCTGACCCCAGCGTCCTGTACCAGCAAAAGGTCCAGGACAGAGCGCGGTCTGTCTGCTCATATGGCCTGGGCCTGCCAGCCCAGGAAAGTGGGGTGCAGTGGAAGCAGCTTTGACCCAGAAAAGGGGACTGAACACATCCTTCTGCAGGATCCCACACTTGTGGTGTTGTTTCTTCTCTGGATTGCTAGCCTGGGGAGCAGCCAGGTAACCTGGCCAGGGCAGGACTCAGGCTGTGGGGGAGACAGTCAGGGTCAGCCCTGGGGAGGGGACACCAGGATCAAGGCTCAGTGGCCCAATCAGTCCAGAACCTGACCCCCAGGAAAATTTAATAGGAAGCTGGAAGCAAAAATATAGGCACAGAGGGCACCAGGGCTGTGTCTTTGGGGAGTCAGAGGTCAGGGCGCCATGGCTGTGTGGCCGTGTGCCAGGTCCTGAATGCCAAGTCCAGTCACTCACCATTAGGGTGAGTCAGCGCCCAGCCCATGGTGACGCACAGGCGCCCAGAGCGGAAGCTGTCGGAAGCTGTGGGCAGGAGTGCCGGGGACACTGTCTTGGAGAAGCGGGCAGGGCTGGCCAGCTTCAGCAGAGCGATGTCACTGTCCACGGGACTCCAATACAGTTGCGGGTATATAAAAACCTGAGTGAGAGTCGGCAGGCGAAGGTGAGAGAAAGGAAACTGGGGTGGCTTCTTCAGGGGACAGGTACAGGGGAACAAGTAAAGGACTGAGACCCGTTTGCCAGCCAGTGCCTGTCTCTGCCGCTGAAGGGTCTCCTCCTCTGATTCTGCCCCCAAAGCCTCAACAGATGCCCCCCAAGGGCATGTACACAGGGTCTGGCTTACCTGGGCAATCTTCAAGATCTGGATGTCTTTCCTACCTGTGGGTCGTTCATACAGCCCCGCCACAACCACGTCAGAGGTCCTAGAGGAGGCAGGTTGGGAGCCATTAATGAGGAAACCCTCCCCCAACCCCCGTGCCCCTAGGGCCCTTCCTGGCCTCACGTGATATTGCAGTGGGCGGCGGTGATCACCCAGTTCTCATTAATCAGAGATCCCCAACAAAACTGGATACTAGTTGCAGTCTGTAGAAAGAAGTTTGGTCAAAAGTTACAGGACACCAGTCACAAACATAGCATAACCCCACCATCTTGGGGATGGGTGGACCCCTCCCAGGCGCTGACTCCCCTCACCATCACAGCCACAAGCCAAGGAGAGGAGTCAGGAGTTTCTGTCCTGTTTCTGATGCTGGGTGTAATGTTCAGCTCCGTGTCGCTGGCAGGGGCCCCTGAGCCTGGGGTCACACACACAGGGGAGGAGAGGGGAGAGGGAGGAGGGCCAGTCAGTTGCAGAAATCTGGTCGTACCCTCAGGCAGCACAGCACCACCCCCACACACCCTTCCTGGCACCCCTTCATACACCCCTGCCTGCTGGTCCAGTCACCCTCTGAGGGATGCAGAGGACAGGCAGATTCCCCTGCCCAGAGGTGCAGACACAGGCTGAGGAATCAGGGGCGCCTGATCGCGAGTCCGTACTGGAGATTCATCCCTCTCTGCCTCTACCAACGTTTTTTCCCTAAGTAGTGAGGAACAGGGCACTCTCTGTGCAACAGGTTAAAGGATAGCTGTATATAGCTACCACAGCCACTGCAGCATGAGTTCAGTCCCAGTGAGGTGACCCATATGGTGGGGCAGACTTCTACTGCACACCTGCTGCTCCCCTCAGCAATGTATTTCAATACATCCACCTGTCCTGCTCCCCACTCTGTCTCTGGTGAATCTTCTCACGTCCCATACATCTGACCTCCACCCCAGCTTTGTGTTCTGTATGCATACATTTTAAAAATCTTTTACAAAATTGAAATGGGGAACAAACTCCTTCTACCCTCACAGTCAGTGCTCCCCAGGAGATGTCTGTGGGTCAGAGGTGCAGAAGAAAACAGTAAACTACAAGTCACAGGTCTTGGACACTTAGCTTAGGGGTATGACAGAGCTGATTTCCTGTATGAGACTGTCAGACATTCTGCATCCCTTCATGATTCTGATGATCTTTATTTAAAAAGTTAAGGCTTTGGGCCCTCCCTGGTGGCGCAGCGGGTTAAAGCACTGCACTGAGAAGCTAAAGCCACTTCTGCATGAGTTCAATTCCCGCCTGCCCCGGAGGTGACCACATGGTGCGGCAGACCTCTCCTGACCCGCCCGCTGCTCCCCTCAGCAGTGTACTTCGTCCATCTGCCTGTTCTGCTCCCCACTCTGTCTCTGGTGAAGCCTCTCACCGCCCCTGAGCCTCTGGCGTGTACCCCAGTTCTGTATGCACAAATAAATAAATCTTTAAAAAAATAAAAAAAAGTTAAGGCTTTGACTCCCCACCATAAAAGCTTCATCAAGGAAAGGAAAACATAGGGCGAGGTGGTCGTGAATGGAGGCCACCACGCAGGTCCCTTTATAAATGCAAACACGTTTGCTGGGTTGGGACACAAGGTTTCAGGAGCCCCAGGAAGGCACAGGAAGGAAGGGGGGCAGGGCCAACCCCTCCCAGAGCCAGGCACCCCCAGGGTCCCCCAGGCCTTGCTCCAGGCAGCCTCTGCCCCTGCCCTGGGGCCAGGGACATGGCCCTGTCACTCCCTCAAGCTGAAGACTCCAAACATGTCCTCCTCATCTTTCTCAAAAGAGCAGAAAACCACCAGCAGGCGCTGTGAGCGGCGCCGCCTGCAGGCGCGTCCTAGCAATGCAGGGGGCTGGTCCCTGTGCAGGGAGGGACCTGAGGTCTCACCCCAGTGGGGACAGCAGCTGTGACAACACAGGGAGGGGGTACAGGGAGGGGCTCCCCCACGGAGCTGGCTGCTCTGGGTGAGCCCCAGGGGTGAGTGTGTGAGGCCTGCAGAGAGTAACAGGCAGGGACTCAGCAGAGGCCCCTGTCCAGGGAGGGGAGGGAGCAGGAGGCTGCTGGGACTAGAGGGGATGTCAGAGGAATTGCTAAAGCAAATCTGGCAAAGCTAACATTTCAAATTTCTGAGCACATATACATGGGATTTATTTTGTCTTTTGTTTGGTTTGTGACCAACCATTTATTGAGTGCCCAGCCTGCCAGCTGAATAAAATTAGAGAGGGGGCCTCAGGGTGTCCCTGACAACCCCCTTTCAGACCCTCTGGGCCAACCTGAGGCACGTCCTGGGCTCCATTCTCAGAGGCCCAGAAGGTTCTACTCCCCACCTGGCACAGCTGTGAGGGCTCAGGAAGCCCAGAGGGCATCTCTCCTCCTGCAAAGTCAAGCTCACTGTCTGCACTGAAGCAGGTGAGGGTCTCAGAGCACCTCTCACCTGAACCAGAGGGCTCACCCAGCTGCACCCTCAGGACTTCAGAGCGACTGAGTGTGAGTCCTCCTTGCCAGTCACCTCCCTACCCAACAGGTCCCTCAGACCGTCATACTCACCAGGGGAGGCCCCGATGAGGATGAAGCAGAAGAGAATCCCGAGGAAGGCCATGGCACTGCGGTCAGGTGGGTGTTGGGCTGCCTGCTCTAGGCCTGTTTACATCCCCCAGGAAACCTAGTCCCACCCAGGCCCTCTGGGCCTCCCTGATCTGATGGCCACTGCCCCCATGGTCAGACCTGTCCTGACTGGCTCCAGCCCAGGTTGCCCAACACCAGGGAAAAGGGCAGCCACCTGGCTCACAGTCACCCATCAGCCCAGCAACCCCTGGGGAAGGTCCCAGCTGCGGGCCCCAGAGGCCCTGGCGCCATCATGGGAGCGGCAAAGACTCATCTAAGGGACCCTCATCCAGGTGTCTGGGGCATCCAGAGCTCAGCACCAAGGATTCAATTGCACAACAGCCCCCAAAGCCCGGGACCCCAGGCTGCCTCTCTACCTGCTCAGGGAAACTCCCTGAGGCCAGAGACACAAAGCAGGCCCAGCCCCTCAGAAATGGCCTCAGAGCCGCCCGGACACACAGCCTACAGCATAGGAGGCAGGATAGTACCTCAGGGGCTTATTCCAATATTCTCTTTAAAATTCATCATTTAGTCCCTCCCTGGTGGCACAGCGGGTTAAAGCACTGCACTAAGAAGCTAAAGCCACTTCAGCATGAATTCGATTCCCACCTGCCCCGGAGGTGACCACATGGCGTGGCAGACCTCTCCTGACCCGCCCACTGCTCCCCTCAGCAGTGTACTTCGTCGATCTGCCTGTTCTGCTCCCCACTCTGTCCCTGGTGAATCCTCTCACCCTCTGCATCTCTGGCCTGTACCCCAGTTCTGTATGCACAAATAAATAAATCTTTAAAAAAAATCACCATTTAGGCCCATCATCATGAAATGTTTTCAAATTAGGTTTTATAAACTCACTATAAAATACACAATGAGGACACAGAAAAAACTGCACACTGGTGTCAGGACTGGAGGGGAGCCCAGGAGGCCAGGAGTGGGGTGTCCCGGGCCCTGCCCCAGGCGGCCACAGGACCAGCCTGTGCAGACACCTCCTGCGTGTCTCCTGGTACTTTACACTGAATGGCTGCAGCAGGAAGACTATGTACCAGTAAGATTACATCTTTTTTTAATCTTTTATTTTCTTATGTCCATATTCTGCAGATTTTTGCACCGTTCACGTGGGTTCTTCTGGACTGTCATTTTTTTTTTAATTTATATGTGCATATAAGACCTGGGGTACAAGCCAGAGGTATGGTGGGGGTGAGAGGATTATCCAGAGACAGAGTGGGGAACAGAGCTGATGGATTGACTGAAGTGCACTGCTGAGGGGAGCAGCGAGGGAGGCAGGAGAGGTCTGCCGCGCCATGTGGGTCAGCTCCCTGGCTGGGCAGGGAACTCATGCTGCAGTGGCCGTGGAGAGCTTCATCGTGCTGTGCTTTATTTAACCTGTTGTGTCACCAGGGAGCTACAAGCATATTGTCTCTTTTTGCTTAATTTAACAATTCTGTACATATGCCAACTAGAAGCTATACTTCCTCACATCTGAGGACCAGGAATCCTTTTTCCCATCAATTTCTTATATGCAAGGTGTCTGTCAATTGTTTGAATTTGATTTTCTCTGACCTACCAAGGAGAAATGTTTCAGTTATCACTTTACGTTCAGGACCCACTAGAAGGTCAATGCACTATGATTACCTAAATCCTCAGATAACAAGCCTGCCTTCCAGCATGTTCCACGGCAGTGCCCATATCCCACCTATCACAGTTTCCAGAGGTGGCTCAGAGGTTACATTACAGGACTGCTCCTTGGCCATGGACAGCTGTCCAGGAACAACACTATCTCTTGGTAGTCATAATGGAAGGGACACATATTTTTGGTGCCCCTCAGGGGACCCTACACCCAGGGGGAGGCCTGGTCTCCTCATCCCCAAGCAGCAAGGAATTCCGTCTCCAGTCCAGGGACATTCAGTGACCACTCACAGGAATCACTTGGAGCTTTGGGACCAGCCCTAGGACTCCCCTTCATTGCCCCTTAATTGGTTCCTAATAGGCTGTGGGGTGCCGGGTTCTTCCCAGGCCTGAGCTTTGGGGCAGCAGAGGCCGCCCTGCCCCCCAGACAGACAGGTGCCCTGGGCCACAGGACAGGGGCAGACACCCTGTGGGGGCAGGAGCCCAAGAGGACAGGGACACCCCCACATCCCCATCCCCTGGGGCTCTGGGTGGGTCCAGGCCTGAGCAGGTGCAGTGATGAGCTCGGGGTCTGGCTCCCCTCACATCCTGGGCTCAGGCCTTGGCGCCTCTGGCCTCTCCCCTGTGTGCAGGACGCGCTCCCAGGACTGTGGACACTGCAGACCCAGCCAGACCACGGGAGCCTGGGCCCTTGGCTGCCCCCACAGAACCTCACAGGGACACTGGGTGAGGAGACCCAAACCACCTCAGCAAACCCTGGAAACCTCAGGACTCAAGTGAGTCCCCAAGGTGACTGGAGGGCGGGCAGATAAAGGGTGGAGAAAGGGACGGTGAGACCAGGGGCCAAATAGACAGGGGGGCAGGGAGGGTTCCCAGGCTCTGGTGGTGGCTGGTGTCTCAGAGGCCACTGAGTGCACAGATTCAAACCAACCACAGCAAACCCTGAAATCTGACTGCAGAAGTGAGAATGGGGGACCCAGAGCAGAGTGACAGCAGGGTCAGGGCTCAAGTGGACTGGATGGCAGGTCCTGAGGCTTTGAGGGGGCCTGGTGTGGTAAGATTCACCTAAACAGGGGTCACCCAGTGCCCCTAAAACTGCATGTTACGTCAATGTTTGTAATTTTGGAGTAACAGAAACAAAAGTGAAAAGGATGAAGGGTTAGGGAGACTCCATCCTCACAGGCTGAGATTGAGCATGGAGAAGATGTCACAGCCCGTGTGATCACCACGTTGGAAGTGATTCCTGCCAAGGTCTATATGACACCAAAGCACAAGCAAAAGGGGAAAATAATCATTATTTGTTACCTGGTAAGAAAAGGGGGAGACCCTGACTGGGGTATCCCCGTTTACAGCCCAGCCAGAATGACGGTCCAGGCCTCAGGCCTCACGACTGGGATGCTCATGGAGACCAGCCCTGCACCCCAAGCAGGACCCAGCCCCTGTGGGACTGAGCAGGAGCCTCATCAGGTCTCAGACTCAGCTCCAAACAGAAATATAAAATAATGGAAACAAAGGAGACGGAGAAAAAAGGGGTATAGGCCTGTGGGGCTGGCAGAAACTCTCCGCTCCTCGGTTCAGACTGAGTTAGTACAGGGCCTAGGTAGAGGCAGGGAAGGGAGGAGGTGGCATCAGTGGTCTGGGGTGGGGTTTGTATGGGGATAAAGGCATAGCAAGGTGCCTGGAGGGAAGGGAAGGCCTACCTGGGGGCGCTCTTGGTCGCAGGACTGTGCTAGGAAGACTACATCACCTAGCCTGGAGCACTCCGGCCTTCCTTGGACAAAGCCACAAGCCCAAACAAGAAGAAACCAGGCTGAGAAGTGAGGCTGCAGCAGTTGTGTGGACTCTCCCCCAGGGGCCCCTGGGCAGGGAGGCCCAGACCCAAAGGCCTCAGCTCCTGACAAACAGGGGCTCTGGGCTCTGAGCTGGAAAGGGAGGGGCACGCCGCCCCCTGGTGGGGGACAGGGGCACTGCAGCCACCGCCCCAGTCACAGACACAAGCAGTGGGGGTCTGTACAGAGGCTTTATTGGGGATAAAGGGTTGAATGGGAGGATCAGGACTCAGTTTTGTTCATGGTCTCATGAATCCATGGTATGATTGTAGTGACGCGAGTAAACAGCAGCGGTGTATGAGTGGGACATGTTTCGCTCATGAATGAAATGACGCCCACCAAGGTCCAGGCTTTTTTCTTCCTACAGACCAAGGGGGCTCCAGAGTCGACCTGTGGGAGGTAAAAAGACACGATTCAGTACTGGCATATGTGAGAGAACTTGGGTGATGACCTGGACAGTCCTGGGGGCCAGGAGGCTCTGTAGTCCAGCAGTGGAGACCCCATTTCAACGGCAGCCCAGCTCTGCCTCCTTCAGGGTATTGGGAAAGGGACTTGGACTGTGTCTTCCAGATCAGCTGAATTGAGCCTGGACGTGGCTGTGAAGGAGTTCAAAGGGTCAGCACCCCTATTCCGACTGTCAGGTCCTGTATGGGCCCTTTGAGCACTGGTCCCGGCTCCAACGCCCAAATCAAGAATCTGGTGGTGGGATCTGGGCAGGGAGAATTCCTGCAGCCTGAGCAGACAGTAATGAGGGGATGGTTGGAGAGACACTTACTTCCCAGCAGGAGACACCATTGTCTCCAGCACAGATCTTGGCATCTGTGATTATCTTGCCCCAGTGTTTCCTGCACTCGGAGTTGGCCAGGAGAGGCACCACAGCCTGCTGCAGCTCCCTGGACTGGCTGGTGTCTGCACAGAGAGAGACGGGCCAGGGGACTCAGCGCCTTCTTTCTCCTAGCACATGCTGAGGGCTCAGGGCCACAGAACTGCCATCCCTGGTCCCCAGCTTCCTATACAAGCATCAGAGATTGACAAGAGACTCTACTCTGTTACATATTTGACAAAGGGCCACAGTCCTGCACAATGATGACAGAGCCCTGCGGACCCAGCCTGTGTGGCGGGCCCCGGTGAGCTTCTCATCAGGGAAGGGTGCTGATGTCCACGTCAGAAAACCCACTCTGGGGCGACAGTAGCCTTCCCACTGCCACTTCCTGGCAGCTGCTGTCCTGGGGAGCAGCCAGGTAACCTGGCTGGGGCAGGACTCAGGGTGTGGGGGAGACCGTCAGGGTCAGCCCTGGGGAGGGGACACTAGGATCAAGACTCAGTGGCCCAATCAGTCCAGAACCTGACCCCCAGGAAAATTTAGTAGGAAGCTGGAAGCAAAAACATAGGCACAGAGGGCACCAGGGATGGGCCGACTGTGTCTTCGGGGACTCAGAGGTCAGGGCGCCGTGGCCACGTGGCCATGTGCCTGCCAGGCGCCATTAGAAGGCTGTGGTGGGCGGGAGACACGTTTAACACACTGCTCCGATTTGGACAAAGGCAAAGCTGAGTCCCACGGCCCTTCCCTCTCTTCTAGTTGCAGAACTGCCCCAGGTCCTGAGTGCCAAGTCCAGTCACTCACCATTAGGGTGGGTCAGCGCCCAGCCCATGGTGACGCACAGGCGCCCAGAGCGGAAGCTGTCGGAAGCTGTGGGCAGGAGTGCCGGGGACACTGTCTTGGAGAAGCGGGCAGGGCTGGCCAGCTTCAGCAGAGCGATGTCACTGTCCACGGGACTCCAATACAGTTGCGGGTATATAAAAACCTGAGTGAGAGTCGGCAGGCGAAGGTGAGAGAAAGGAAACTGGGGTGGCTCCTTCAGGGGACAGGTACAGGGGAACAAGTAAAGGACTGAGACCCGTTTGCCAGCCAGTGCCTGTCTCTGCCGCTGAAGGGTCTCCTCCTCTGATTCTGCCCCCAAAGCCTCAACAGATGCCCCCCATGGGCATGTACACAGGGTCTGGCTTACCTGGGCGATCTTCAGGATCTGGATGTCTTTCCTACCTGAGTGTGGTTCATACAGCCCTGTCCCAACTAAGTCAGATGTCCTAGAGAGAGCAGCTGGATAAGGATTAAGTAGGAATCACCCCCCACCCACCCACCCCTGGTCCCTAGGACCCTTCCTGGCCTCACGTGACATTGCAGTGGGCGGCGGTGATCACCCAGTTCTCAGTGATCAAGGAGCCCCAACAGAACAGGATCCTATTGGCATCCTGTAGAAAGAATTCTGGTCAAAAATAACCAGTCACACACGCATGGTATAGCAACCCCACCACCTCGGGGCTGGGTGACCCCAGTCAATTACAGACTCCCCTCACCATCACAGCCACAAGCCAGGGCGAGGAGCCAGGACCTGCTTTCGTCCCGTTTCTGATGCTGAGTGTAATGTTCAGCTCCGGGTAGTTGTCAGGGGTCCCAGAGCCTGGGGTCACAGGGGGAGGGGACAGGGGGAGGTCCAGTCAGTCTGCAGAAACCTGTTTGTACCCTCAGCCAGCACAGCACCACCCACACTCCCTCCTGGCACCCAGCACCTAGACTGGAGGACACACCCCTGCCGGCTGGCCTGTCACCCCCCAGGGATGCAGAGGGACAAGTGGCTCCATCCGGGTCCCCCTGCCCAGAGGAGCAGACTCAGGCTAAGGAATCAGCCCTCCCTGCCTCCTACTACCTTGCTGGAGACCACTTCCTGGGCTCCATCCTCTGAGCCCAGATGCATTTCTGCCCACCTGGGGCCACTGTGAGGGCTCAGAAGGCCCACAAGGGCCACTCTCCTCCTGCAAAGTCAGGTTCACTCTGTGCACTGAGGCCAAGTATGGGGGAGAGGGACTCAAAGCGCCTCTGGGCTGAACCACAGAGCTCACCCCAAGAAACTCTCTGTACTCCAGGGAGAGACTGATGTCTCAGAGTCCTCCTTCCCAGCTTCCTCTAGGACAAGAGGGCCTAGGAACTGACACTCACCAAGCGAGGTACTGACAACTATGAAGCAGGAGAGAAGCTCCAGCAAGGCCATGCTGCTCAGTCAGGGACGGTGGGGCCGCCCTCGGCCCCTTTATAGCCCTCATTTACCCTAGTCCCACCCAGGCCCTCTCAACCTGCCCTGACCTGCTGGCCATTGTCCTCATGGTCAAACCTGTCCTGGACAGGCCCAGCCCGGGTCACCCAGCACCAGGGAAAAGGCAACTACCTGGCTCACTATTGCCCAGCACCCCGGCAACCCCTAAGGGAAGCTCCCAGCTGTAGGCCACAAGAGTGCCTGGCGCCATGTGGGGATGGCAGGTGCTTAGCAAAGACTCACTTACCAGTGACTCTCACCCAGGTATCTGGGGCAGACACCCAGAGTTCAGCACCCAGGACTCAATTGCACAACAGCCCCCAGAGCCCAGGACCCCAGGCTGCCTCTCTACCTGCTCAGGGAAACTCCCTGAGGCCAGCGACACACAGCAGGCCCAGCCCCTCAGGAAAGGGCCTCAGAGCCGCCGGGACACGCAGGCTGGAGCACAGGAGGCAGGACAGTACCTCACGGGCTTAGCCGCATCCCTGTTTCTTGAGAACTCACCATTTATGACCCGTCATTATAAAATTCTTAACTTATTTTCAAAAGTGGATTGAAACTCATCATAAAGGGCCCACTGAGGATGCAGAAAGCTCCAGGCTGATGTCAGGACTGGAGGGGAGCCCAGGAGGCCAGGAATGGGGTGTCCCGTGCCCTGCCCCAGGGGTGCCACAGGACCAGCCTGTGCAGATGCCTCCTGCGTTGTCTGCTGGTCACTTTACACTGAATTGCGGTAGCAGCTACACTGTGCACCAGTAAGATGACATCTTTTTTCAATTCCTTATTTTCTTATTAGCATATTCTGCAGGTTTCATGAAAGCATCCAGTTGGGCTCTGGTGTTGTTTTCCACTCAGCCATTTTGTACAGATGCCAAGTAGAAGTTACACTTCCTATCATCTGTGAGGACCAGGAAACAGCCTTTTTTAGTCAATTTCATGTTGAAAATAGTAGCCAATTTTTTAAAAAAACTTATTTATGTGTGCATGCAGAACTGGGGTACAGGCCAGAGGCTCAGGGGCGGTGAGAGGCTTCACCAGAGACAGAGTGGGGAGCAGAACAGGCAGATCGATGAAGTACACTGCTGAGGGGAGCAGTGGGCGGGCCAGGAGAGGTCTGCCACACCATGTGGTCACCTCCAGGGCAGACGGGGATCGAACTCATGCGGAAGCGGCTTTAGCTTCTTAGTGCTGTGCTTTAACCCGCTGCGCCACCAGGGAGGGCCATAGTAGCCAATTATTTAAATTCCAATTTCTCTGATCTACCAAGTTGGCAACTTTTCAAACATTAGCAGAGAACTTTTTGTTGTTCTTGTTCCTTTTTGTTTGTTTCTCACGGAACACCCGTAGTTTGCTGACTAACCTGTGCATTGGTGATCTGTGGACTTTGTTGTACAGTTCTGTGGTCCAGTGTCTATGTGAATAACCACTTACAAGTGCTTCACTGTGTCTCAAATTCATTGTCTTAGTTTTCTATTCAGTAATTGTCCTAGTGAAAATATCCACCATTGATTGAAGGTACAGAAGGCCACCAGGAACAGGTCACAGGGCTTGGGTGGAAGTTCCCCTTGTATTAGCTCCATGTCTAACTCCATGGAGACTCCATTTGCAGTTAGCAGCAGGGACTTTGTGAAGGGCCCAGAAACCCCCGGACCTGGATCAGGACAGGTGGGCGCCTGGTGCCAGCAGGCCCTGCAGCAATCAGGACCCAACCCTGGCCAGGTAAGACCCTCCTGGGATGCACCTGTCTCAATGTGAAAGGTCCTTAGTTAATTAGGTAATTGTCAGGTGGTGGGTGGACAGGTTACCCTCTGCTCTCCCAGAGAATTCAGCTCCAGACCAGGATACTCAGGGAAAGAAGAGTGCGTTTGTAGCCAAAAATCTGGCTTTCTTCAAGAAGGGCCTTTTCCAGCAAGTGGTTCCCTAATACTGAAAGCATCTCAGTTAGCAACTAGCACTGCACCAAAGGTACCCAGAAACCCCACTCCTCAGGGGTGCATGCTGTAAATAGGGGCCAAGCATCTGTCCCACCAAAGGCAAAGCGAGGAGTCTCTCCCATGAGAGATTTCTGAGTCGGTGTTCTTAGAGACAGAGTGATTGCAGAGAAATCGTTTCTCCATAAAATTCCAAAAATTACCCATCCTCTGATGCGCACATAAGGACAGAGCAGAGATTCCAAGTCCAAATGCCCCACACTGCCCTGGGGCAGGACAAGGTGCGCCCTGGGGTCTCAACTCCGCTCTCTTTCCACCTTCTCCTGGCCTCCGCCCACCTTCTCCTCCAGGTCTGTCCTTCCAGGTCTCCCCTTTTTCCACTTCCAGTGGCACCTGCTGATCCAAGAGCCGCTCACTCAGGAGCCCTTAGCGACCAGCTGCTGCGGGTCCTCCTGGTGCCCGAGGTGGCCTGGAGTGGGGTTTGCTGGGTGTGTCCTGCTGGGGAATTTTCATTCAGTTGCACAACTCTAAAGTGCATATGGGGGCTGAGAGAAATTCAGGGCTCTCATCAGTTATTAAGGAAATAACCGTAATGAAGGAGAAATTTTTAGAGAAATCAGCCTCTAGGCTGAGGCTTTTTTACAAACTAAAGTACAGAAACATTCTGAAAGTCTCGTGAGCTGTGGCCTGGCTTTCTCACTGCTCACCATTAACCTGGGCCAGTGACAAGCTGCGCCCGAGGGCCCCTGTGGACGCGGGGACTCTGCTGACTCTCCCCACCGTGCGTCTGGGCACGCTGCATGGAAACCTCAGATTGCAAGAAAAGCAAGGCTTTGGCTTTTTACATTTCACAATGAGAGCATTGATAGGCAAGGAGGAAAAGCGAGGCACCCGCCTGGACACAGGCGGACAGGAAAGTTGCACAAAAAGGGTTTTGCAAGAGCTGACCGGGGTGAGTGGAGGGCAGATAAGAAGCCTCCTCGGCCCCCGTGTCCCCCTCCTGCCCCCTCCTGCCCCGTCCTGCCCGTCTGGCCTGGGCCTTCATAAAAAAGAAACGTCTCAGAGGTGCCCCCGGCCCTTGTCTTTTCAAACTGGTCTTGCTCTAAACACGGCTGAGCAGAGCCCAGAACTTGACATGCAGGGACTGACTCTTCCTTATTTCAGTGGTTTCCTCCTTGTCCCAAAAGCCTTAGCAGGAGAGGACACTTGTTCACCTGCGGGTCTTTGTTTCTGGCAGGAAACTGCTCCCTGATGTGTTCACAGAATATGGGAGAAGGTGGTCATGGGCATGGAAACTCCTCCTCACCCAGGCCACCTCCAAGTCCTGTGAGGGTCAGCTCTGGGTCTGCTCTGGGGTCCTCACACTCAGGAGGGGGCCCTGGAACCCTGCAAAGCCCACGAATCTCACACCCACTATATATCTCCACTGAAGAAGCACTGGGCTTTAGGAAAACATCCGTCTTTAACTATGCACTCTTCCTTCAGTATCCAAAATTTGCTTTGAAATGCAAATTTCAGGAGCTGTACTT